TCTGCACCCGACATTTGCACCCATATATTTCCACTCATAGATTGTAGCACCTGCATTTGGATTGCACCCGCGGAAATTTGAACCCATGTACATTTGAACCCGCGGACATTTGAACCAAAATTCATTTACCCAAAAGTGCAAAGTTAGTCTCATCAAAGTGGAAGATTAATACCACAGTTCAACTCAGAGCAAAGACCATGTCAATTGTACCTTGATTTTAATTTTTCAATGTCTAAGCTAGACTTGAAAAACACCTATATATTACCCTAAACTTTTTTAATTTGTGGACAAATTAAAATTACCTACCCGTCTGCAATACTTTCCTCGGGTATTGAATCACCAGCCCCAATATCAACTTCAACACCTAGTTCAGCGTCATAACTGTCATTCGCAATGCACTTAATCTGACTTTGAACTTGCACAGATGATATTGACTGGGGAATAACCATTGTTACATCTACTGCAGAATCTTAAAAATAAGACAAAATATCTATATAATAAATATTACTACTAATCACTCCTGAAGTTTTCCACTGAAGATCGTAACCGATGTTCCGATACGATCAAAACTTTATGGGAACTTGAACAAACTCAAAACGAAAAGGATAAATAAAGTGTTCTTAAGTAGTTGTAAGTATAAAATTCTTTGAATAAATGTCTATAATACCCCGTTGAAAAGCAATGTTGCACTTGCGAAACCATAGATTTGTTCTAGGGCAGGGGTTCCCAAACCAGGGGTCGCGACCCAAAATTGGGTCGGAGTGATAAGTAGGTAGGGTCGCAAACAGGTCATGGGGTCGCTGAGGTATGGTAGAGGATGGGTGTACAAATCATCTAAGATTTGACAAACCATGTTAAATTTAGCAGTTTGTACCAGGGCTTACTGTAAAACGGGCCCATAAGCATCGCTCTATGCTTATGCTATAGAAAATGTTGGTGCTTATTGTGACATCACTATTTGGTTTTAGCTCATTACCAGCACATGACCAAACTAAAAAATCCAGTGAAAGAAGCTCTAAAGTTTCAAGAAAAAAATATATATATTGACCTGGGGTCGCACTGGACAATTGAAAGTTGTCATTGGGGTCGTCCTGAAAAAAACTTGGGAACCCCTGTTCTAGGGTTATTACGTTCTTACGCCTATATCTTGGATTGAAGGTTAATCATTTGAATGATTTGATAGTTGCACTCACCTACGGCAGCTATCCATTGAATTGTCAGACAAATTATAGAACACAGAATTCTCGACTGCATAGTCATTTTCAATGCCATCCGTTTTGAAGCTTGATGCACGGTGCTATCCCAGCTACATGATTAGATCGAAAATGTTTAACTTGCGTAAAGTTGAGAAAATCTTTTACAACATTGGTGGATATGTGAATAATTGGATAAAATAAATTTTGTAACTGTTAACAAATAATTTAAATACAAACTTTATTATACATATATATGTAGGTAGAAATGCCATGCTTTTTCCACAAAATCATGCTACAAGTTTCAACGGCAACATCTTAATATGTGTTTCGGTAATTTGAGGTTACCCAACAACATTATCACATTCATTTTTGCAACCTCAACATCTTCAGATCCGAGCTACTCCAGCTGTTCTCTAATTTATCAACTGAGGCTCGTATTTCATAACCTTGTAAAAAGTAAGTTCACTCTCAAATAATCTCTCCCCCAAATTTCAAAATTACTCCGATTCCCATCAAGCTTAAATCTTGGCTTCAGATACCTTCATTTTCCCATTTTTTTTTCATTTGTGACATATTTCACTTTCTGCCCGTCATGTTTTCCATGATATATATTCCTATCCCACTAATATTGCTAGTAAAACAACACAGTACTATGAATTTGAAGTAGGACCACTTAACAATCTTTACCAATCTGAATATTACCATTTTTGTTTTTGCTTGTTGCAATGAGTGTTAATTAATGCCAATTACGGGTCAAATCAATATTAGTCACCACAAAATTTAATAGCACTTGAAAAATATTCGGTTGGCAACAAACACAAGTATGACGACCAGAGTGGACATACGTCTACTTGAAATTATTCGAAAATATTTTACAAAGCTAATGTTTTTTTGATCTCTGTAATTAGCATGATGTTAGTTTGCAGTCGCCTGCTTTGGTGCCGGCGCATATTCAACTGTTAAGTATACTTTCCTTTGCAAAAGTTTATCCCAAAAGAATGCGCTGTTTCTCGTTCAATATTTATCGCCATGTGTGCCAGAAAATACTACATATATACTATTTTATCTTTTCACGCATATATTTGTCTGTGCCACTACTTTTTGGTAATCAAGCAGTGCAAATGAAACTTGCAAAGTAAAGAGATGCTTGATATACGGGTAAAATTTTGACATGTTTTGAATATGCTGATTGGAAATATGTATGGTTTTACTGTGTAGTCAACACAGTAATGGCAAATGATCCTAATAAAGCAGTAAAGATTTGAAATTATTCGTAGGGTGTTGTCTCAATCTTTTGGCTTTTTGGGGTTCACATCGCTAATTCCTAAAACTTTTTGCTTGTGTCTTTATAATGCTTATCTAATTTACGAACACTTGTGGGATCATTTGTATGTTCGTATAAATATTAGTCATCACCAATCACCATAGTCTTCTTTATTTGAACTCAAGTCAAAGCCACCAATTAGAATACTATTGCAAGGTATGTCGGAAGCCTGTCCACGTAGTGATAAACTTGGAAAGATTTGAGGTCTATGATAGATTATTTAATTTGCTTGTATTTCAGGATAGAAGGAATCTCCGGAGAAGCCTCCATGTCAACTTGATGATGTTTTATTTTCTGATTTAGTTTTATAATCTATGCTAAATCATATTACAAAAATATGCACTTTCGATTTCTTTTCTTATTCTATCATTCATCTGGAGCAGTTGTTTTATTAGGGTTATATGATCGATATCTAAACTCGGAGCCGAGATCGACGAGACTGAATGTTAAATTAAAAATCCATTCATGAATATTACTGTAATACTTATTCATTGAAGTACAGTATAGATCGGGAGTTATCAAATTGTGATTTTTTTGTTATGGGTGTTATAATAATTATATATCTGACTTTTATTAATTATGTACTGACCTATGATTTTGATGAATAACGTTGTCAGTATGTTTTATGATCAATTTCTGAAAATGTAAGTATCAGAGACATCGTCAGGGTTGATCAATCTCAGCTAGGAGAACATTGTATATATGTTAGTACAAAATCATTTAAAGTGGACATGGTGAAAATTACGTATTCAGAGACAATTGGCTTTTCAACGCATTTCCACTGGTTATGTGACAATATTTATGATATTAGGTTGTTACTTTACAGCCAGTAATCAGAGGCACAAAATGCCCAATCTTTTCGTAAAAATATATATTTTTAAAAATGTCGTCCAGTATCCGAATTTGGTATTGCTTCATTTTCTTTATATATATATTCATTATTATTGGTGTATCAACGAACCATACATGTTCTGTAATGCCCATGATTGTCACCAGTATTGTGCGTCTATTGACCGACACTGTCATCTGTTGGTAACGAACAAAACTTAGCACATATCAGCATAATCACTTAATCGCCTAAATATTACAAAAATGAACGAATACTTCTTAGCACATAGAACCATAATTTCAATTAAATTTTACACTTTTGCTGGTAAGTCCTCGTATTATTACTAATAATTTATCGCTTGTTTTGTATCATTTTTGTTGTTCCCAAACTTTTAGTTTGTTGGTATTTATGATGAAAAATTATTAGCAGTAGTTGCATCAGATTTTGGGATGATTTTAATCTGTTTATATAAAGAATACTTTTTCGGTAGCAGTATTTTTTATGAAGTATTTAGCTGCCTCGAGCAATTGGCGACTGTTGATGTTTGAATTTGAGAACAATGCTCCTTTTTGTTTCCGTCGGAAATGACATTTGTTTCATGAAAATAACTGCTTCCTTTTAAAGACCAAACGACAGGTTGAAATTGTTGTCTGCGAATACATTTTGATACAAACTACTCTCGTCTGTTTACGTAGTGACATTTCTGTTTTATTCACGATGCAAATGGATCAGTTGAACGCTTCAACATGTGTATTAAAATGGGTTTGTAAACGGGAATGAAGGCTGGTTGGCTGTTCAATGCAGCTATATCAAATATTTCAATTAATTTTAGATCTTTGCCTCATCCTAACAAATTTGTCTTCAGCTGATCTTGTGATCGGAAGATAGTTATTGTCTCCATTTGACTCTCTAAAACCAATGGAAGAAATGGAGCTCAAAAATGAGTTTAAATTGTATTGTATTGTACTGCGAAACTAAATGACAACTAAAAGTTATTATTATGACAAATATAATCTTTGAGAATCCCATATAGCCTACAGTAATTTTCAATAAGGGGAATATGTGTAAATCACCAACTAACTATCTTAAAATTCGCCGAAGTGAGAATTGGAGTGGATCCGAGAAACTAAACATTCTACCATTTTATTTTATTCTAATTTATCTCAGTGTGCAAAAATATTATGACTGGTTGTATTATATTAGGCTTAGTATCAATAATCAAGGACGCCGAAATAACATTATACATGTGGACTCAATTCATATGAAAAATATTGAAGATTTGATAATTGAGACCTTAATTCGTTATTATGACATTTGAACTCCTGTAAATATTATCAACTAGCTCGAACGAATTCGAAAACAATAGTAGACGAGTCATGTTCTTTCTGTACCATACCTACGCTCTATCATTGTAGCAAATTACCATTTCGCAAATTTCTTGTCTATTGTCACAAGTTCGTGCCAAAACATTACTGTTGGTCCTTATTTTCTATTTAAAATGCTATGCGTCGATTGGGATGCCGCAAGATATAGCGAGCCACAATGTTGTTTCCTGAACTTGCTTCTCAACTGTACCTGACCTTGTTCACAACAAACTCAATCTAATAACGACGTGGAGATCACGTCATTAATGTCACATTTCACAACAAAATACCATTTTATAACCAGTAGTGTGTATTTCGAAACATTTTAATCACAAATTACCCGAGAATATTACAACAATGACCCAGTTGAAATATACAAACATTGAATGGAAAACAGTTTGAGGGCGGCTGTACATACAGAAGGAAGACTAGATCTGAAAATTGGTATTACAGTAGGTCGCCGATAGAAAATATATCCAGAGAAGATTTGTCCTATCCATAATTATAATACCTAATAACGGGCCAGAAATTGGGTTCTTCAAGTTAAGTCAAATACATTTTCCAGCATCTTTTATAATGATAAGGTTTGACAGAACAATTTGAAACAATTGTTAGATATGAAATGAGGAAAAGGTTGTGACACTATAGTACAGTATGTAAGATATAGAATTTCTTGAATTGAACTCAAAAGTCTGCGTACCCTACGTAAAATTAAATTTACAATATTCATGACAAACCATTATTTATGAATTTTAATCAATAAACCAATCAAAACATTACGAAATATATATATACATAAACAATATTTTGAAACAAGGGATATAATTCGGTATATTTTAACAATCATTAAAAATCGAAAAAAAAAACGCAGTGTTTATTCGCAGCAACGAAGTTGAGATTGTTAGCGAACAATGCTCTAATATCATTGCGATTTATCTCCAGAAAATCTCGTGCTATCAGAGATGATTCAAAGTTTATAGCATTCCAAAACTAAATCGGAGATAAAGATTTTATAAAGTTCAAAAAAAAAAAAACGCAAAAAATATCATAATACCGCATTACACAAAAACAACACACCTTGGCGGTCAATTCTTAACGTTGAAATGAAAACTATTTGCAACACAAATAACACGATATATCATATTATAAGAAAAATAAAGCACGCCAAGGCCACTTTCGTATTTGAGACCTAAATAGCACATGGCCGGTCCTCGAGATATACTAGATATGCCTTTTAGGATAAGAGAAAGGCGACGGTGAAAAGTGAAATCGGCGTTGCTTTCAAAGAATGACCTCTATGGAAGGTAATATTATCTCTCATGAAGATTCCTATTTAAAACTTAGTTGCAACCCCACATAATATCGCAGGCACATTTGGCACTTTTACATCAAATCATAAGTATTAATTCATTATATACAAATCCGTTCGAAAATTGACAGCGACTCATCTCTCCTGGTGTTACACAAAGAATCAGTCAATAGGAAAAACGTCGCGTGAGCGCAAATATCGCAAAGAATTTACGTATGATTTCGCAAGGTAAGAAAATATATTGTTATGTTATACTTCTGCATTAAATCTGGTCCGAATACTGTGGATGGTTCAGAATTCTGTTCAAGAAATATGGCAGAGAGTAATGTCCACCAAGTACGGGATCCGGAAGATTCATCCTGTAGTTGTGTATAGTATGTGAAAAAATCGCAAATATGTTTTAACGTAGCTGGCAATTTCAAGATGGCCCCAAGTGCGTTTCAACTGAACCCAATTGTTTTGAAACAATACCGGACATCCGACATGCCACAGCGGTTACCAAAGCTGCTCCTTTGCCGCTTCCGTCGTGGGACATTCTGAAAGTCACTCTGGTGTCAACAGGCAACAAGTCCCGGACCTTGCTTTCCAACAGTCGTCGAAAACTGAAATGAAGAAAAAAATACGACATGATTCACAAGAAGCGACACTTGTGTATAGTTATATGACATAACATAAACGTGACCATATGCACAATACATTATGACGTCACTAAGTTCGTCAGTGATGTCATTTTAGTTCACAAAAAACGTGGATTGATATAATGAAATGAGCAAGTTTGTTTCGAAAAATACCGGAAGTACATAGTACGCCCTACGTCACAATTCGTTATAGAAATTATATAACATTTCGTTAGGAGGATTGCAAACAAGGGTTATATAGCGGTAAAAATTGTAACAACACAGATTTTTAAACATAGAATGGTAAGATGTGAACTTACTGTGGGTGTTTCTTATAAACTGTTCCGTCAACTCCGACAGTCATATTTCTTGCGTCGATTACGCCGCTTGATTCTCTATTTTTCATAATCCTTTCAAGCAACGCTGCCACACCAGAAGCGCATAGATGCGCCGCCCTGGTGCTCACCGCCTGAAGTAAAATAGGTCGAATAAATGATGAAATTAGAATGTATTACACAAAATAGCAAAAGATGCGCCCATAATTATACCTAAAAAGCTTGTATATTTCATTTTAATAAACTCGTGCGAGGTATAATGTTTCTCTGGTATTCGTGAGGTTTCATTTAAATTTCAAAGGGATTGTTAAAAGCGACAAACAGTTCAAATATGTTAAGAGCCCGAATTGGGCGGCTCTTCTACTGGCAACAGTTTTTCCTGCGCCATGATGCCTATTTCTGCGGGATTCTTCATTTTTATATGCAAAGTGTCACATTGTACAAATACTGTACACTGTTATGTTAGTAAGTATTCGTTATAGATACTCATCATGAAAAATGAGTCTCGAAAAAGCTAAAATTTAACGAAATAACTGTTTGGATACAATAAAAATCACGTTTTTGTTCGTAAATACATGTAGTATTATGTGTGTTCAGCTTTGTATATTAAGCTAAGAATAGCATCAATTTTTACACCAAATTATGCCGTCATCTTTACAATTATACCACATACCTCGCAAACTTCCCGTACGGCCTGTCTATCGGCGAGCGTGCAGTTTTCGGGATAATCATGGCCTGGTGGTTTCTGTATATTTAGATCTTCAGAATCGTACCCGAGATGACGTAAAACTTGTGCAGCCATTCTCAATTTAGGTGAGTGGTCTCTGAATAAAACAAATTCAGTGCATGTTTAGCAAAATGTGGAAGTGATATGTTAAATAATATCTGTTGTTTGTTCGGTGGTTACTTCCACATATTTATATATATCATTTAGTTTTCATTATTCTAAAACTAACTTACAATTCGATTTGTGTGACAAACGCCGTTTCGAAATCGCCAAATGTGTTGAGTTTTTCAGTCAAATGTCCTCCAAGAATTGAGCCTGATTGTACGAGATCGACCAATATATTTCTCACGACTTCTCCCATGTACATTCCGCTGATCATCTTCTCGTATCTAAAGTTAAACGTCAGGTATTTTATGAACATAGTCATCCATCAAGTACACTATCTAAAGCTACTTGACTAGAACATTTCAGTACTAGCAAAATATATCTTTATTCTGATAGCCCACATTGTAAAAATTTCATGGTCATTTATTTCAAATTGGGAGAACGTAAAATCGATTTTTAGTGATTGGGTTTGGGTTTTTATGTGTGTATCGCGAACTTAGATTATACATGATGTTTTGGATTAGTTGTGCATAGCGGAAAACAGCCATCGGGTAAGGTGCGTGTCGTTTTCATTCCCGGTTAAACTCCGATTGAAAATACGCCGGCGAAAACAACAACATCCCTGAGTCACGCCGAACTAATCGGTTAGAAACGAGTCATCCGTAAAGCATGCACTCATGAAACTCGTGATAAAACGTTTCAGGCTAAGTCAATGACCGAATGCTATCCATGTACGAAAATGGCTTCAGCACCATTCTTCAAATTTCGTGTTTAGTTAGATGGTCGAGAATTCGTGAAATTAATATTTGTTTGGATCGGTCAAAACAAAATTTTTCGATTGATTTCGTCGTAAAGTATAACGCAATGATACTTCCCTCGAAATTTTCCTTTCGTGAAAATAATTGATTACTTTGCAATAAAACGTCATTTATTGTGCGATTTCGGCGTAAACAAATACGTAGCGGACGAATGTCATGTTTTCAGAACTAGTGCGACGCCGAATTACGCCGGCGGGCGAACAACGTGAAATTGTCTGCTGTCTAGAAAAACAAGTACGAATGCAATGGACTAGGGCTAAACTTGATTATCAGAAGGTTCTACCATGGATTGAAACACATACGCCAAAGCCAATTTAAATTCAGCCGTGAACTGTGTATAAAGTGTAAATGAGGGCGGTGGAGGACGGTGAAAAATAATGCAGAAATGAATTCAGTACTTAAATTGTTAAGACAACCATTCCCCCTTTTCGACGTGAATACTGAACTGAGCAATGTTATTTCGCAATTAACTTGAACAGCTTGCATTCAAATAGGGAATTTGAGGCTGTTGCAAATCGAGTATCATGGATTCGTCTGCTGTTACTAACCACATAGATTACAAAACTAACCAGGACTAATTGCCATCCACACTCATTCCCAGTGGAATTGCATCTGTAACAAGCGTATTTCATCAGAATATACATGTACGACGTGTTGGATACCTATTTTAGTTTAAACTCGACTGACCGATTAATTATCTGCGATCAATTCTATGATGGAGCAAAACCAATTCACAAGAAAATCAGACTTTTGACACGAGCCATACCTCATTTTATGATACCTATATATATGACAGCTGCAGTCACAAGAAACCTTTGAAATTCCGACAAAATTGTAACTAGCACCATCTCTGATGCACGCTTGAATGGAAAGCATTTTCTAAGAATACTGTTGCACGATTTTTGCGTTGGGCGAGTGGTTAACTATCCCAAAAGAAATCATTCAATTTTTCGCGGACCTGATTCATCGGTGGGCGTTCGTTTTATGGACCACGGTTCATTGAATGTGAATAGAGTATAAGATGGAAAATGGTCGATACCGCACAAACAAAAGCATTGGGTCACGAGTGCTCATGTTACGTATACCTCGTTTTTGAGCATAAAATTGCAATAATTCACCGGGTCATCTTAAGATATCTATATTGTACTTTTGACTAAACAATTAAAAGATTAATAGTTTCATATAGTAACTCAGCTTATATGCTCTTATTTGGCAAGTTGGTGGAATGCTAGTACCTCTTTGAAACTTTCATTAATAAATTTTGTCTTACATCATACATCCTGGATTTATAGATCTCTGATCAACTGCTCTGTCATATTCTGTAACAATGTCTTCTAATTCCCCTCTTTCGCCAAAAGCTCCCCATTCCGTGTTTATACACATTTGTCCCTCTCCATCTCCTCTATCTTCTTCACTTAATGCTTCGACGTTTCCCGTTTTTTCCATGTAACAAGCATTTGTTCCCGTTCCTAAAAAAAAAACATTGTCGTTACTCGTTATGATTGGGATATTTTAAAAAAGCAGAATACACAATACTGACAATGATTCTATTTTAAAATTGTTTCTTGGCGTTTGAATGGTTGTTTTTTTCTTACTAAAGGATTTATTTACAATGGGAGAAATTATTTGCAATAAAACGTTGTTTACTACCTCGCGTCACAGGTAATGCGATTCTTCGGCACGATGGAAATATATTTTTTTTACACTCGAACTTGATTAAACTTGACGTCACAATTCTTCTATCTGTATTTGCAATGTAAACCGAATTTTGACACTGCCAGTTATCATTACATTACCATGTAATTATATGTTCTTGTTTTTTCTTAAAAATATTATTTAAATTTCGTGTATTAAAAATAACTAATATTGTGAAAATAATAAATGGTTGCATATCTAATACACCCAAAATAAACAAGCGTATAAATTTGGAAAAACAACAACTGATTGAGTTTACTTCCTGCTTCAATAAAAAATATATTCCAGACGTCTTAATTTATTTTTTTCCCTACTTGCCTTTAGTCACACATATATATATATATACATTCTCAGCACATATCAATTTTTTTGCAAAACTACCAGTTGTGGTATATTTTATTTAACTATAGTTCTCATTTACTAGTGTTTTTGCAGCAACATGCAAGATTCATTAATATTTTATGAAATCATTCAACTGCACAATATTTTTTTTATCAACGAACAATTATCGATAATAAATTCTATTTAGTACGACGAGAAGATTGCGCAAGGTATTTCAACTTCAGTGAACTTGTAACGTGTTTGCTGCTGTTTTCGCGGCTAATTTTCTGTTTACCGAGACTACCGATACGAGGACAAGCTTAGTTCCAAGAACGACCGAGGTATGGTGGTTCCATAGTTTGTGCACGCTGTCAGCGCGTGGTCTCGTTCATTCATTGCTGCTTCAATCAAAACGTTGTATAACATGATCCTGACTCAAGTACGAACTGTGCAATGAGCGGCGTAAGGACGCGCGAGACATTGTTGCCATTCAGGGCTGGGAAACGCATAAACACGCGTGAATTTAAATGGTCTCGTGAGTCGTGACCCTCGTACACAGTCTGTATGAAAAACACATAAGCAATTCACAGATGACTTGGATGAGTAGCGGAGCGGAAAACGAAACGTGAAAAAGAGCAATGAGGAGAAATATGTTAAAAAACAAACCTATCATTTCAATTTTCGCATAATTTTCAAAAATCCATGTATTTCTTTCAGTTTCAATAACAGAAATAGTTCTTTCATCCTCAGATACCGACGCTAAATGGTTCTAACTAAAGTAACCATCAATGCAATATATATACTATGTATACTGTTTCAGATGGATATCATACTAACTTTAGCATTAATCGCATTAACTTCAGCTTTATGTAGATAGTAAGCGAGACAATTACACTTTTGTTATTACGGCGATTACGACCATCTTAACTTTCTCCAATTCTCATTTAAAATCAAGACTTTGTTTCAGCCAAACCAAACAAATATAACTAACCAACAATCATTCCAATAACGCAATCATGATCTTCATGTCCACAAGACATCATTGTTCCAACTGTATCGTTTACCAAGGCTACAACTTCTAATTCATATTCTTCTTCCATTCTTCCTACTGCTTCTTGCAAAAGTTGAACAACATCATTTCCGACAACTCCCGAAGCACTGAAACCCTTTGTCCAACGCAAAAGTGAACCCTGATAACAAAATAAGGTATAACAACTCATGAAGTTCGTCCATAGCACTAAATTTTGTTGTTGCTTAATAATATAAATCGTAAATAAAAAGTTATTAGAGATTATTTCAGCAGGAGCACAAAAGACATCACTCACTGTTATACATTTGCATGACTAACAGTAGGAATTTTTTAATTCAAGACAAGGAATTATTTAGAAAGCGATAAAATTCTTATGGAAATATTTATTTTCAATCCTCAGTGAATGTACTTTTCCTACGACTTCAGTGGTGTTAAACTTAAAGAGATTTTGCCTCATGTATTGAAATGTACGTACGACAATACCTCAAGAAATCTCATAAAAGGTGGGCTGTAAATGACCTCATACCGAAATTAATCATATGCAAGCAAATTTCACGAATAGAAAAGTATTTGGAGTGTATCTCGAATAATATGCGCTGCCGAACGTAATAAAATGACATTGAAGGGCGTTTCGTTTACCTTCATCTCCTAAACAAGCAAGAAGACCATCTCCGAAATAAATTGTTTCATCCCAAGAATTTTCCATCGCAAGATAATATGAATTCTTATTTTTCATAATATTTGTTTTTAGACGTGTGTCATCGCGGCAAGCAACGCGGGTTTTTATCAAGTAAAAGGGCTAGCGAACAGCGGCGAATCCGGACAGCGAATGGAAAATTACAGCGAGACACGCCCCGGTCACGCCTATGTCGTCGCGTTGTTATGTAAGCTTGACTTATAGAAGGCTTTTCAAATTACAAGTCGGTTAGCGTTTGAGGGCAATAGTTGATGGTAATTCTGTAACATCCATGACCGAGCTGTAACAAATGATACAAGCTAGGCCTATATAGTTTCGAATATATGTTATCCAAGTTGATAACTACCTAATGTATTATTAAGTTGGATAATGTTTGGTAAAAGAAGACATATAAGATAAAATAATTGGTGGTTTTATTTCGGCCATGCAGAGTTTTTCCTACAACACATTAGACTGGAAAATCCGGTTAAATCCGCCTACATATTCTAAGCGTTTTTATTGGCTGATAGATTTAGACGCTGTACATCCGCTTCGAGCGCGAGGCAACGACACATCCGTACACAGCATTAAGCGGTATAGCGTTGAATCTAGTTTCGTCGCGATTGGATATTACTCATTCTAATACTATGCGTTCAGCTCAAGAACTCTGTACACTACCGCCAATTCAACAGTTTCTGAATTGGTTTATCTTTGGTAAATTGACGTGGTCGATCATTGTTTTAAAATAAATTCTGATTGCTCCATTAATACAATGTACTAGGTACTGGTTATCGCTTGAGAATTATATAAAATTTAAATCCATCATAATTTTGATGTCGTCAAATATTTCGTGTATCATGTCCTTTTTCACTTTAAAATCAACGCAATGATTTGCAGGTTGAGGTCACTTACTCGCTAACTAGGTGAGCAAGCAAGAAAATTAACTAAGTCATAAATGTAAAACCACGTGACAGGTTTCTGAGAAAAGGCATGTCAGTATTGTGTGTATATGGTGCGTAGAAAAACAACTCTTCAATGGTATTCTATTCATCCCTACATTGTGATAGAAATCATGAAAAGAGTCAAAAGAGTCTTCAATCATAGGGAACAATTGACCAACATTAGAAAACAAATGTCATTCGCAAGATGTGCGAAGGTAGTTTTTATTTTCTCTATAGCCGAAAACGTCTCAAAATATGAATATTTAAAAAATATATCAATACCAAAAAAACGTTCATTAAACCCCATGATCAGTGAAATAGACGGCAACGATTAATTTAGTTAATATTATGATCGTTTGCTTGCTGTGACCGCAATATGGAATTTTATTGTAAAAATAAAATCTTTATTATATTTGACATAGGTCACATGTGAATAAGCAAGCACCGTGCGACAAATATTACAAATGTCCACAACTACACGAACAAACAGGCTCAAAATTTAATCAGATAAACCAATCGAAGCACATGGAATCTATCACGTCAAAAATGCTAGTCATCGTTTAATAAAACAAGATAGTCATGCTCAAATATATTGACACAAAACGGTAATAGCTATCTAGCGAAAAATACAATCTTTAACCAATGAAAATTTCCAAGCAATTGGTTCAGTAGTTGAAGAGAAAAGCGATTTATTTCATAATGATGAAAAGAAAAATACCAAGAGGAAGAACAACAACAACATAATAACAATATGATCCATAGGTCCATTTCGTGTCCAAAAAAATACCTGTAAATTCTCCATTAATTGTCTATGATATCGCAGCTAATTGTTAGGTGATCAAACTAATTTTAATTCCAATCTTACCCGGTCCAATCCCTCTTGTACGCATGGAAATGAAAAAGTGAATCCAAGAGGCAATTTGACATTCTTCAAATCATAGACTTCCAAGAAATTTCCTATCGATTCAGCAATGTAGTCAAACAACTGTATAAGTTAAAAAGGCCATGAGCCATGGATAAACTAGAAAAATTTCCCACTTGAGACATGGCAATAATGGCAATCCCAGGTATACTTGCATTTATCGGCATATTCTGAATGTTGAGTTGAATTCATTTGAATTTTAAAGTATCAAATTGCCATCGGCCAATTAGCACACCGCAAACTGACGTGTTTTACTTTTACAATTCAAAAATCTGATAAATACTGAACATATTATTGGCGAGGGACCCAATGTTTATACCTGGGGCTATGTTACATATTTTAACGTGGCCAAGTTCTTGTAAAACAGGACGATGAACTTCTAGAAAAACTGCCTTTACAACATTCACAGAAGTCGGTTTTACCGTGGGAGGTATTAAAAATCTCAACAACAATATATTAAGAAACTTGTATTAGGGAGAAGAATTGTTCAAAAATGCTGCTAGACGTCTAAATCGAATAACAATCAACGTCATAGCTTTTTTTGCCTACCTCTTCTCCGGACCCGGTCATGACATCTTGAGGCATTTTATATACTTGGTTATCCATGTGAACTTTGCCCTCATCTTCTTTATCTATTTGTACACGTAAAACCCGGAAGTTTGTTCCGCCAAGATCAAGCGCAAGAAAGTCACCACCCTCTGTTAATACAAAATATGTTTGTTCAAGTAAAATATAAGAATATTATAGATATACGAATGTCACAGAAGGAACATGAATGCTAATAGATTTGATTTGAAGCTTCCAGCCTGTAATAGCACTCTTCGAGAGAGTTGGTTGTTAGAATTGTTTACAAGTCAGATAGACGGTGGACTCGCCTAGAAATTGCCAACGTGTATATGTGTTTTTATTTCTCGGCGCAGAAGATAACCATAATATAATTATTTAAAAATATCCGTCTCGCGGTAACTCGTTAAATGACGAAGGTCTTCTGGCGAATCCAATAGGCAGAAGCCGTGTGGGCGTGCACGTAGCCGACCTAAATCGATATTAACTCTTGACATTCTGATCGATTACTACGACGATTTGGACTTTCGTTTATTTTCTTTTGGTGGCTACGATGTCGTTCAATGTCAAATTCGTGAATCCAGACCTTAAGTTAAGTTTGAACAAAAATAAATGAAGCTTGAATAGCGGTACACGATTCAAAATCGCTTGTATGACGCACGAAAGAAACGCCTGTGGGATTAAATGAAACCCCCCCAGAGTCGGTTGCTGAATTTATTAATTTGGGGCTATGATGAATGAAATTGTAGTTCCTGGACGGATAGGAAATGAGGAAATGTTTTGACTATTTTTTTAAATCGTAAAACAGGTCGTAGTCTAATTTTACATTTTCAAGTTTAACGTGAATATTCATTATTTTGAAATAAAAAATAATTAAAGCAAACATTGAGCAAAAATTTTGGTACTCCTGCAGGTTAGGATTAGGTCATAATTTCATCCCTATTTTCCTTATTTTAGTTCTACTATGAGTTCGGGGACTGTCTGTGTTAGCCAAGTAAATATACCCCTTGCCTATAGGCTTCCGTCCCTTTACACAACTTGATGTAAAGTAGGCGAACAAAATTAGTTACCTTCATATTGATACACACACTTCTGGAGCGCCAAAAATGTAAGTGATGACTGGAAACGCCCCACGATACTACCACACTAACGCCACCAAAACGAAATACTGTTCTAAAATAGCAATTCGCGAATCACTGATAAACAAAAGTAAAACAATAATTTGTTCCTATTTTGATACCCACAACCTCCCATGATGAATCCGCAGAGCGTTATTTTTACAACCTACTGATATCTAACGATCAAATTTCATATTAATTCCAAGAAAACTTACGATATGTAGATCAGAAACAATCGCAGATATCAATTTCATTGGACAAAAAGCCAATTCGTAGAACTGGACAACACCTTAATCTCGACAAATGAAATGAATTCGCACAATATCAAGCAGGGTATAGTTCTATTAGGTACATGAATACGTGGGTTATTACGGGTCCTTACCTAAGTACAAGTAATTCAAGCAGCGTCCGGTGGCCAACTGATCACACCATAAAGTGGAAACTCAAGCTGAATCAGTTACCACACTTATGCAACATCACCCGAAGGTGTGGCTAAGGGTGGGCAACCAATCATGTTGCGATAAACTACCAAAAATCCCGCCCATTACATACCACGGTATTTTCATCTATACTTAATTAAACCGCTGTATCCGGAGTTACCTCTCAACCAATTTTACTAAAATGAAATAGCAAATGTCCAAATGACAAAGGTTTCAAACAATAATGGGAATTTCTAAGCTACTAGCTGATGCCGAATTTAAAGGATATTAAAAAAATCAAAGACTAGATTTACGTTGAAGTTCCCACCGGATTGTTGAATATTTACATATGATAAAATGTAATACAAGGAACATTTTAGCGCAATAAAAATAAATTCACGATTACATATTCCCAAATCAACGAATTCATTTTTAATTCGGCGAAATATTAGCCTTTCATCTTTGTCTTATACTCGAGAAATGGTCCACCATATACTCCGGCCATAGATGTTAAAATTCAATAAGATTCTTTGGCTAATAGTAAATAAAGACGTTCGGTGGGTCAATAAACAGTTGAAACAAGCGTTTGGGAAAAGTTTTTGAAGATCTTATGTGGCCAGTTGCGTTGTTGATGAATGTTTAAAATTTCGCTTCGGGGTATGACGGGTTTTGCCGACGAAAACGTACGTGCAAATGCCCACGGCAAAATTAGATTAGAAATACCTGCATACTTGAGTTTAAGATAAATACCTAGAAAGTAAAACTGTACTTTGTATCCATGAGAGGATTAACATTATTAGTCTACTATTTTCTCGTTTTAGTTTTTCATATAAATCTTAGAAATGAATGGAACATGACGTGAATCTAAACATGGAACCGGTTTGACTCATTAACCAGCTACGCTGGCTTTGAGGCTATAAACGACATCCAATTACATCAACCGTTAACCCGGTGACACGGTTCCGGCAGACAATGCTCTTCTTTCATTGGCTCGGAAAGTTCACGTTGCAAGGTGTCATGCTGCGATAACAGGCATTGATTATGCGCAAAATAAGTACACGGCAGCGTCCGGTCGTTTCGCATGCGAATTTTTCTTCTTAAATCAGAACACTACTTCTTTGGAACATTATTTTTTCAAGTCATGGATTTTGTAGATCAGCTTACACTGGCTGATGAATTTCATAACACCATTCAATTGATCATTTTACTCTAGGCCTACATCTTCGAGGTTTCGAATGAGTTTTTTCCGTGTCGGGTTTGAGTTTGTGTTTTTATGTGGGGATCTGTCTTTGAAATGGTCAAAAACTCGGGGATTGATTTTCTGTTAAATAAATACATTGAAGATCAGATTTATTCTCCACTCCAATAGATAGAGCAATTGCAAAATTTTAAATCAAAACATAAAACCAATATAAGAAAGCTATCGACAAACTCATATTTTCGTAGCGTGAATTTTGAACAGGGTTATGAATGATTGAGCTCTGTTGTATCACAACCACGAAATAAAATGACTTCGAGAAACGAAATTGTTATTCAAATTCATACAAATCATCCCGTTTTTATATCTAAAATCTTACATAAGTGACATCATATATGAAGTCATTTTAGAGCAGAGAAATGTTTCACACAATTATAATGTCATAAGTCAGAATATCTGTTGCAATAAAAAATGTGATGCGAGTAAATATCGTAAATTCTCATGAATGTCAAAATCAAGACGGCTTAATCATATGGCGAACCACGGCCTCTCGTCCGGTTACCAGTCTATGCCGTATGGGATTAGTTAGCCAGTTATTTGTTTCAGATGCATTGCTTGGTTACTTCATGTCAATCAAAACTGCCCTAATTGTTATTGACACGTGACACCCCATTTTACTAGAATTATTTATAAATCATAAACATCGGACAAATGTCCCGTTAATTATTTTTCCGCGTGTCAAAGCGTCAAGATAAAGCAAGTACATATGCAGTGTTTATAACATCGTTACTACTTGGCGTGACATTCGTGATACACATCAATTTTAAACATAAGTATTAATACTGATCCGCGTTATGATGTATTATTATGATGTTGTTATTTTTATAGGCCAGCCTTTTCTTACCTGTTCCGTCGGGTGTATCCCTAACGTAAGTAGGAAGCATTTTTAGTGAAGAATCATTGTTGTATTCTTTAGTAAGACCCTTTGAAAGTGCTTCCGAAACTCTTCCTTTGACAACATGAAGAGTTTCATCTGAAAGTGTGAGTGTGGCCAGCGCCGATTTGAGATCCTGCAATGGTAAAAAAGAGTTGTTATTGTGTAGGCTACAAGCAAGGTAATATTTGTTATTGAAGCCGAATTAATATACGCTAATAAGTTGTCGAATCTCCTGTTTTGGCGATTTGCCTAAGAAATTCAAATGAAGCTTAGTTGGGGATCGCCTGCTGCGTATGAAACGGTGAATTTGAAGAAAGGTGGATAGAGACCAATTTTTGTTATATTCCCTCTTATACCACCGTAAGCTTAAAGTTCTATTGTGGCCGACAATCACAGGGGGAGGCAATTTGACAAAAGCACATCTAGGATAGTTCTGTTCGTAATAACAATAATAAAACTTCCGCTCACATAGCAGAGGTATACACTCCCATTACATACCCACGAAACAGAAACGTCAATAATAGAAGCTTAAAAATGGCGCCTATTAAATGGGGCTTATACACTACTAACATTGAGTCGAAAATATCAAAGTGTACACCGCTGAATACCTTAGCCTAGCAAAGCGTAATTTTTATCGTTTGTCCATCTCAATTTGCTTTCTTAAAAGCAAAGGTATAAATCAATACAACGTTGAGAAGTATGCGAAAATAACCAAAATGATCTGTCGCTTAATTTGTTGACCGGGAAACGTTTTTTGGAGGTGGAATATGGATTTACCTAATTTGCTTATTAGTTATTATCACTTGAACAGTTCACTATATGCCGCCGAGATCTCGAGATTGGAGTAATTATCGAAATTGTTAGACGGTAGGGGCGACAAAACAAATAGAAGTCTATCTTACTAAGCTAGCACTTGTGTGATTTGAGGCAATAAATGAGCGTTGAGAACGTCAACAGTATCGGGAAATTGATCATTATCATCATCATGTTTAGGTTTTCGAAGTAGTGTGCGCACGTTTGGTTAGCGTTACTCAATGTTGGCATATTTAATTATTTGAAAGATTGATTATCTTTCACAATTAAACGTTGATAAAACCTATCATAATAATAAAGATGCCCACACTTTAAAAGGCATAAGCTTACAGCTTTCAGCCTCGTTTCCTTCGATACAGTAGCTTGTAAATAACTAGTATACCATCTTACAATAGGTTCATTAATCGAAACTAAATTTTGCTTCAATAATAATAATAACAACGTTTTGAGGGATTAAACTCGACAAACACACAAACCTCTGAAAACATATCAATATTAGTAGGGCTAGCTGAGTATAATAACACAACTTCTTAACTTTGCCTACGTTATGTTGTACGTCTTTATGAGGTATACCTGCTTTAAAATGGATAATAATTTAATCCGATAATGAGTCATTAGACAATATATATTAGTGTACTTACGAGGTGTTTTTGTTGTTGATCAACTGTCGCCATTTTAGTTTGATTTATTCCTTTTTGGAAATGAAGTTAATTGTCGAATCTTGAAATATCGCTGCAAGCGACTGATGTGACTTCTGAATATGTGCGGCTTAGACTGGCAGCACAAGAAGGCTTGAATCTTCTTTAATAGTTCGTACACGCAAAGAAACGGTTATAACTCTCTTTAATAAAATTAGACAATGCGTTTTGCTGTAAACGGAGAAAAACGAATGTTAGCTCTCGTTTGAACGGTTGCGGTATATCAGCAACTATAATCTGCAATCGAGCTAACGTATCACTCGCAGGTCTTCGACTAAGTCCCACACTCTTCCGTTACGCTTGACTCGCACCTAATATGCTCCAGGCTGTTGACTGCGAGAGAACGAACGCACTGTGACTGAGGATTCTTTATAAATACCAGCCGTTCTAACGAATTTGGCGTGAAAAGAGATCATCGACGACCCCGCTGTTCTTGGAATTTTATTCTATCAGAACAAATCTAGTAGCGTGAAATACGTGCGCATCCGCACAGAACACGCACGACTCGCACGCCTCTGTTCTACCCTCTTTCGCCACCTGAAGCTTTTGTGATTCATCGGTCGTTGACCGTGTATGTGCTATTTGAAAAATGTGCATGTGTTAATTCATAATACAATCCGATTTTTTTTAAATAATAACTAAATTCATTTTGCTTGTTCAAAATAGAAGAATCAGGTGTATTGAGTCAAATTTGGTTAAAGAATAAACGAGAATATAGGTCGGAGACCGAAGACTTATCGATCGAAACTGCGGTTTCGATTCATGACGACTCTATAGTAACACCGCGTGTCCGATCACTAATTAATTAATAACTCGCTAATTATACGACATAATTCATCCAAAATCAATAGGCTTCTAATCCGAGTTATAATGAATGCACATGCAAATTTGGAGCAGGTTCGTGAGATCGCCTTCATCTAACAGACAAACAAACAAACAAACAAATATCTATCAACATACCTACCGATCTTAAGATCGATTAAGTAACAACAGAGAAATTCGCTACGGTAGGGCTTTAGTTGAAGCAACAGGTTAGCCGAAAAGAACGGTGTTCACCTTAAAAAATAAAAGTTTTATATCGACTGCAAATTATTTGAAATCAGTTGGTCAACCAGTTGTGAAGAAAAGTTGCGATTTTACAACAACAACTAGAATCTAGCCGAACGATACATATGTACATTTCGTGTCCACTAAGTAATTTATGAATATTGTATAGCGTTCAAACCCAAAACATTTCTAAAATTGATTATTGAATTGAATTATATTTACATATATTTATATATGAATTGGTGGGAATATAACTGAACTGTAAAAAATATTCGTGTAACTTTTGAGTTCTTACTTTATGTCGATACAATATTATAACCGACCTGTCCCACGGAATGTACACTTCATTTCAAGAAATCTATATTGTATTATCGATTCATATGTGGGAGGTACACCTGTATGTCTAGTTTTTATACATCGAACACCAATCACGGTGGTCGCTCTGAGAGGCGTCTTTGCCTAACGACAATTAATTTGACCAATTGTTATACTCCTTCCTCGCAATCGATTAATTCCTGGCGAATCGGATTGTGTCAGAGTGTATATTTTAATATCTCTCAAGGTAAGTTAATAACTATTTGATGTTATTAAATATTAGGATGCGGATATTACAGCAATATACACATGTATTTAGGAAATCCTAAAAAAGAGGAGGAACTTATTTGAATTGAAATTCCCTGAATTGTGCTTTCGGTGAAATCTGGTATAATATTTAAGTTATTCCAAAACATTTTAAAGATACTCGAAGACTTCTACGAGACTTTACTACAAGATAGATCACTTGTATACTGGATATATCAAAAGTATGTTAACAGTTACTAAGTTGATCAACCTATTATAAATAAATGTTAATCTACATTTGTGTCACCCTCTATATTATTTCAAACATCCGATGCTGAATTTGATTGATCTAATGATTTGAAGATGAAGTTAGTTTCGAACCAATTTTATTTGATATATTTTTTTTAAATTTTTCCGAGACATGGTAACACAGATAATCAAGGTGGGCGTTTATGTTTATTTTATCAGATTTCGAAAGGGTTGTATTTGTATAGCATTTCAAACTGTAAGATTCTATTTAGAGTTTTAAAAGTTGAAATACATTTCACAGAGGAGAGGATTAAGCAGAAAATAAATACGAGAACTTGTCTGACAAGTTTAGTGAGAAGCAGATTTATCAGTAAAACGAAGCAGTGACCTTAATTTCCTAGAATCAACACAAGTTCAAGTTTTTGGTCTTGCTAAACATTGCCGCAGAGATTGTAGCCTGCTTGAATGTCTTAAATTAATTCTGGATAAAAATACATCAGTAGACCAAATTGTGATGATGAAATGGAAAGCCAAGTTAACCGGTTCTACTTGAAAAGCAAAATTCAATATTTAAAACAAGAATTTAATCATGTAAACACACTATATTTTTGTATCAATAATCAAAGTAGCCATAATCACCTTTAAAATTATTTATGCGAATGATAGCTACGTCAACGATGTACTCAAGGACACAATAAACACGTGGAGTTTTTCTTACATAACGACAACATGTGCGCTGATCACGCATGTAGCTCGTGAAATATATGTGATCAGAAAGCGATGATCTCTTGTTGCTGCAAATGTAACATAAACCACAAAAAGTTGTAACGGCAGCTTAACACGAGTGATTGAATACACTTTGGGAAAAAGTAGTGAAGTTGATTGCTATTTACAGTATCTCTACAAATTTGTCGGTAGGCTGCATGGTTCTTCGGCAATCGTTTTTCAGGGTGAAATCTTTTTTGCATAAAATAACATTTGCCAATTTGTTAAACATGACCACAATTTTTTTTTAACCCCGAAATATAATTAATTTTATGCATTAATTATAAAAGTACAGGTTATCAGTATGCCACATGATACTTTTCAGCTATATCACGCTTTAGGCACGCGCGAAATCCTACCATATATTGTATTGTGCCTTTTGACAAGCTATTGTTCCAGATAATTCATTTAGAAGACTACCTCAAATTGTGCTATATTTAGCATGTTATGAAGCCCACGTTATATAAATGAAATTATATAGAACACAATTGACAAAAGTATCTCGGCACTGGGGTTACATTGGAATGAAATAGAGCTCGATTTCATTGTGTCCAAGCCCACGTTACACCTATGCGTTTCTAAACTACTCCCGAAAGTTCATTTAATGGGAAACTCGATGCTCCAGGTTGAAATCCAATACAAAATGTGCATGGAACAAATCAGTGTGCTTATGTATATCGTAGTGTTTTACTCACGAAGCAAAATAGTAATGGGAAGAGGCTAATGAAGTTTTTACTCGTTCAAACAATACACACATGCTGCTGTGATCGTTTTATCTTCAGGTATAAATTATGATAACATGAGAACAATGGAATTCAATGGGAAGGTGAGAGGCAAGTGCGTCATAATACTGAAATTGCGAAGTTGGATTATGCTCTTAACTTTGCTGACATGTCATCAATCAGTGAAATCTGGGCTCGGACGTTGGTGTAGGAGTCAAATTGTTTTAAAGCGAGAGTCAAAATGTCGCCACTCGCCAACCGGAATAGTATATTTAATTTTTTGCGTGCACTTCGACTTTCGTTCAGCACGTGAATTTTTAATTTGCAACAGATGGCAGAAGGCAAGATTCGACTTCTTCATTATACTTTTGCATTTAAATAAAACATGATAAAAAACTGGCGGTATCGATGCTCACCTAGAAAGATTATGAGCTACCGTTTCCTTAAAAAGAGGAAGGCATTGCAGCAAGAAAAATAACGCAGAATACATGTAAGTAACATCATCATTGGCAATACCGATAATGTATGTATTTTTGAAAAACGATTTTATGGCATTTGCAGTGAGACATGAACTCCTGCGTCTTCAGCTTCTTTAATTCATAAAATATTCGCAGCATACACCAACAATCAGGCAATGCCAGAGTTTACAGGTACCGCTATGGGGTTGAATTTTTTCACACATTGGCGTCTTGATCTTCAGCGTTTTTATATAACAATTCGCGTTTCTAAGATTTCCTATTTTCTTTGTGTGTTTATCGTAGTGCAGTTTATTTAGGTAATCGAAATTAAATTGAACATATATGTAACTGAGTGAATATTGACTTTGATGATCAAATATTTACAATATTATTTTCAATTGTATTGATTTTTTCGGTTAAAACATAAATATCAGCTCTCTTTCTATTACCTTGTATTGTTACAACGAATTACCTTGTAGGGGTGGTGGCTGCACATGTATTTAGTTGGATGTTATGAATATTTATTATAGTATACCCAGTACCACCTTCTAGTACACACACACACGCTCACGTCGAAATAATAATGAAAAAAACGATAGAAAATGCAACATAGATACACGTGTACAAAAAGTCATGAAATGTAATTACGCATCAAACATCGACAGATCTATGGCTTGGTGCATAATATCGCTTTAAGTTCATGTCCACGCTGGATTCCAACAGTTGTCATTTCAATATCAACAAATCCAGCATTTACAAGTGCATTGGTATAAATCTCTGGTGTTGAATTAACAGCATATTTCAAAATAGTAGAACTTCTTTTAGATGATTCTATGGCTCCAAAGTTGACAACTGTTACCATATTACCACAACTTTTCATTACTCGATATATTTCAGCACAAGATTTATCAATGTCAGGCCAGTAAAGATGGGAATTTATGTGGAAGACTTTATCAATCGTGTTATCTGGAATAGACATTGTTGATACATCTTCATTTAAAATTGACATTCTACCTTTGTCTATTTCATCACAAAACCTCTTTTGAACTTCCTCACACATCCTTGATGAAAAATCAACTCCATATATTCTTCCAGAAGGATTCCCATGGCCAGTAGTATCCAGAGTTAATTTAAGTCCCTCCCCTGGCCCAAAGCCAATTTCTAGAATATTGTGATGAGACTGTAGCTGAATAACATAATTACCAAAGGTGAAGATGACCTTATATTCAAATGATTTGAAAATAACATAAAAAAAATTACAAATAATAAGGGTTCAATTTAAATTTTAAAGCGTACCAAAACCAAATCAAATAAAAAGTCTTCCTATTAATTGAAATTACAGAGTAAAATTTTGCTGAAATATCGGGTGGGACTCCTAACACTTTGAAAAAAAAAATGAAAAATAAGAGATAAAAGTAATAGCCTTTTAGCGTCTTTAACCATCTATAAGTACCAAAAAATTGAACAGTTGTGTATTAGATGCAGGGAAACAATAAAATCAAAATTACACAACTCAATAAATAGAATATACAGATTTTCCTATTGTTCAAATAAACTATTCATTTAAACCGGACAAACAAACTAATTTCATTGACAAATTGCACCAAGTGGGATAACTACAACATCCCATTTTTCTTTACGTCGGGTCAACTTTGTAGTAGCTCGCAGGATTATCTCATTACAATTGTCTGGTGCTAACAAGAGATTATTATTACGGTACTATTTATCACCCTATCGTATCTATGAGGTCAAATCATAATGAAGTTTACTAGTTTTTATATCAAATATAATCACAGAATCCTACCTGTAACAATTCGATAACTTTTCTATTTTTCTGTTCATTGCGAGTGATTAAAAAGCGTTTGATAATAAATCCATACAAATCATTGGATGGCCTACGAAGGTTTCTTGCAATGCTTTCTTCGAATCTTTGTTTGATGATAATGCACATTTTTTAATATGTAAATTGATTTATGGCAATCAAGATTACAAAACATGTAGGCCTACTTGAAACGATAAGATATTGAAATAAAACATTGTTACATTATAATAAAGCAAAATATATCTATATATCAGCTTTACAATTACTTTCTCTATTCCCATGTAGGCCTATGTATACAGATCAGTTTTTGGTATACGTGTTAAATTGGCTGTACACGGATCACTTTGCCATCACCATTTTTCTACCTGCTTTGTAATCATGGCCGTACATTGCACAATAACGCTATATTGATTTGATCTGCATTAACGTGCCTCTTCTCCGCTTTTACACTTTTCGAGTGCAATATATATAACATCGTTATTGTGTCTCAGCTCAATAAGACTCAAAGTTTTCGATTATTTTTTGTAAATAAATTACGTCCCTTTTATTTTCACGTGGTGATGTAATAAATAATATTTATTGACACAATGAAAGTTAATGCAATTGATATAGCCTCATAACATTATCGAACAATAATAACAATTTTTTTTATGTAAAACGATAAACTTGAACCAATTTAACTAAATTATATCATAGGAATGACTTTGGGGTAGCAAAGCGTATTTTGAAGCAGACGATGCATCACTGATTATACCTTATCCTTAGGCTACTTACTGCCTTATGTTGAGGGTCATGATTTTTCTGAAATTGTCACTTGCCAATCTTAACGCAAGGGAGCTGTTCAAATATACATCAATCACTTTTAGTGACCTATGATGACATTACGCAACATCGCATATCACCTCTTTTAAGAATCGATATTTCAGTATTTATAGTAAATGTCATGTTATTGCTTTATAGATAGAAATTCAAACTACTTCTTTCCGCTACGTTTTGGTGATTTCAACTACTGTGTCACATCGAGAAAAATTCATCTACTTAATCATTCTCATCAGTTTCGTACTAGGTGCTATGAATAATGTCTAACATATAACCCGTTATATATGAATGTACATGATTGAAATATCTCTGAAACTCCTCGAGGCTTTTGACTCGTTGCACTCCACTGTTTTTGAGAATTCATTACAGCGGTTCCTAAACATTTTGTTCGTGCGTCGCCATATTATCACGGAAAATCTCACGGCGCACTTACATGAAAAAAAATTGCTGCCTTCAATTGAAACTCAATTTTGTGATCGTTAATGTGTACTTTCTGCATTTCGAAGTTTGTAAACATGTATGCCTAAAATATAAAGTAAAAAGGTCAACGCTTCTTTTTCATATCTGCCTGCCTTTAAAATACTAAAAAATCCCTCATGTTCGCTAAACTCGGTTCAGCAGATAAATACTGCAGCTCACGAGATTGCAGCAAGTAACAGTTACGTAACAATAGATGCGGACATTACGTAACAAAAGTAAACAACATAGAAAGGTAAAATGAATTTATTGATTTATAAGCACAATATTTAAAATGAGAAACAATGAAACATTTATAATAAATACAATATGTAAAATATTCAATCATAAATGTGTTAAGTTTAACACATATCTGTTGATTTTCGAGGCGTACTTACCAAATCGCATAGTGCGCCGCGGCGCCTCTTTCTAGAAAAATGAGGATCGATGTTTTCAACAGATGCATTGAAAAAAATAGCTTATATTTAAAAGTACAAAATTGAAACCTTATAGCCTACGCCTGCAAAAGTATTCGGGACAATTGCCCTATGAAATAGTTTAATTTTCAAAGATCTGCGTTTTGTCTCGTCAATCTTCCACTTTTTTTTCACTTTATAAGTTAAATAAATTTTATTTTGTTACGTTGTTTATAATATCACTTATAAAAGAATCTATACCATTGTGTGGTAACTGACTCAGATGACCGTATATGGCCGTATCGTTATAACTCAGTTATATACCGAAAACTGCATTATGTGTTGTTTTATTATTGGACACGTAGTGGACATAACGATCGTTTCAATATTATGTTGTTGTTGTTGTTGTTGTTGTTCTTTGACACGTTTTTAAAAAGTCGCTTTTCTCTTCGAATACTGGACCAATTGCTTTGAAATTTTCAGTGGTTAAAGATAAAAATTTTCTCCAGAAGGCTATTACTTTTTTTTTCGCTATGACGTCATCAAAATTATGTGACTCTACGTGTCCATATATTTGAGCATAGCTCTCTTGTTATATATGTGTTATTGTATCATCATTATGTTTTCTGGTTTGACGAAAAAATAAATTCTCTCTCTCTCTATAACATTATTTTAAGTTGCATTGCAAATATCTTCTAACCATTTATGTCGTTTTAAACGATTCAATAGAAGTGAAAAAATTATTGCAATTAATTACATGTTTCAACAGTTCAGAATCTTTATTATTATTATTAAATAAAAAATAAAATCTATTCTTATTGTATCATTGTGGTTAGTTAAGACAATTCAATATATATATATATTATAATCAGGCAATCTTTTTTGCAATGACAATAACTTCTTGAAAAATTTCTAATGAACAGAACGGGATATTTTTGATAAAATGATAATTCCAAGACCCTAGACATTTGTAGTCATTGGCATTTTAACCTCGTACATTTGCACGCATGCACATTTTTACGTACGTACATTTGCACAGTATTAGTTCACAATACGAATATAAAAGTAATATTTCACAATGCACTAATTCCAATTTTCATTCGATTTGTGTTACTCTAAATCTCCATTTTTGTTATGTTTGAGTATTTTTTCTTTATTCAATTTCAATTATCTTTTGTTATCTCTGATAATTCCAATACTTTTACCAATTTTACATTTATATAAATGAAATCGGCCAGCAAGAAAGACACAAGCACAAATCTGGTGAAATAAATTTCGACGAAAAACTGTCCAAACGACCATCCCTGATGAAAAGCGACACCTTGCGAAGCACTTGGCACAATACAACAAAATCGTCAACAGTCCGGGAGATTCAAAACAACCGTTGTTTTGTGGCTCGCTTTGGTCTTCTACATTTCCCACTATTATTTTGTTATTTGAGTCTTGAATTTTACGCAGCAGCAGACACGGATGATTTTCTGTTAGCTTAAGTCGAAGCAAAGTGTAATTCAATTACAGCTTAAGTATCGACTTGGGATTTTGACGTGAATAAAATTAGTGACATAAAAAATCGATAATTTCCCCGTTGGACTGTTTTAAGCCGTTGAAACTTTCGTGATCGCATAGGTTCATAGATACTATATACTATCAATACTATTTACAAGATTATTTAAGGAACTAATAGTGGAATTTTAGGCTTATGTATACTGGCATAAAAATCACGTGGGTAAGTTCAGAAGTTACCGTAGTACTGCGGTATGAATGCAGAATGAATAAATTACATAATTATGGGAACAATACTGCAATAAGAATGAAATAACAGAATCTGGCAGTGGAAAGTGAGAAGGAGAGTGACAATATTGGTATTGAAATCTGTCATTTTCAACTGAATGGCTTGTTTGAATGCATCACAAATAGTATTACAGCAGTTCAGTGATAATTTTTAATACTGTAATACAGTAATATGCATTTAACTGTTAGGTATATAATTCAAATATCATCAATTTCAAAAAGTCAGTTAACCTTGTTAAATTGTGTATCAGAATATAGCAAAAAGGTATTTTTGGAGCATTGTATTGGGAAACAAATCAAAGAATTGGATAAATTGAATAGCAAAATGGCTACAAATATGGTGAGTTAGATAGGAATTTTTAAACAAATTTTGCTGTTCCCATTTTGATTCTTTTTTTGAATTTTTTTTGTTCTATTTATATCAGGAGGATCCTACATTAGAGAGGGAGTATAAAGGACACAGAGACACTGTTACAAGCTGTGATTTTAATCCAAATATGAAACAATTAGGTAAGATCAATATATCTATTATTATTTATTCTCGGTATCATTTTAAGAGGTTCCACATCTTTTTTATCACAATTTCTAGATCTTTGTATTTTTTATTATAGTAGCCATTGTGGTATCTTTTCTTGTTTATTTCAAGTATTATGGACAAGTCTCTGATATCTTGAGTTAGTGTTATCTGTACAAGTTTTGTGCATCCTGTCATTGAATTTATCTCTCTGATCAGGATTTGATATCGAGTACAATTATTCTCATACTTTGTTAGCAAATCTATATTTTTCCAATTTTTAACAAAATGAGTTTTTATTATTTTCCTTTTAACGATTATTTCAGATTACAAATATTTTTTTATTACAAAGTCAAAAATGGCTCAGAAGCTGGCTTCGAATTGACTTAAAATTCGCTGCCCCTCCGTACTCCCAATGATTTACATGATAAAATGAAGCTGCTTGTTACTATATGTCATAGGTTCTCAAAGTCTTCCATGCAGAGCCTCAGGGCTTCAGGAGAGAAACCTGGGGGCTCAGCGAACTGTTCGTTTACTTATTAAAACTGAATCCAATATACAACATTGTGTTTTTTTATTTTTATAAATTTATTTTGGAGCTTCTTGAATAATATTCAACTTTTTTTTAGGTTCCATAACTCCAAAAGTTTGAGAACCCCTGCTATATGTAACCATAGGCTACATAGTTCAATAATTGAATTTTTTAACAATTGACCTTCCTAGATATTTTTATTTATTTATAGATAGAATAGCTATATTGTTGATATAAACACAACCATTTATTTTTCAATTTTCAGCAACTGGTTCAATGGACACATGTCTCATGGTTTGGAATTTTAAACCCAAAATGAGATCATATAGATTTGTTGGTCACAAAGACGCAGTCCTTTCTGTACAGTTTTCACCATCCGGACATTTAGTTGCATCTGCTTCAAGAGATAAAACAGTACGACTCTGGATTCCTAGTGTGTGAGTTTTTACACTCGTTAGATTCTGACTCAATGAATGCAATGAAAGTTTGCACAGGCATGGTGACGGCCTCGTGGTGAAGGCATTTGACTAAACTGTGTTGGCATCGTAGATTTCTCATCTCATTTCCATGCACGTCATTCGCACCCAGGGTGTAATAAATTGGGTAGGCAATGCTGAACCTGAAGGTCCTGGTCTTTTCACGGTAGTGTGAGCTCCTCACATATTATAAGATATGTGACTGCTTGTACAGGGCCTTGTTCAGAGTGAATGGCACTAAAGAGCACCATATAAAAAGCAATTAGAACAATAGGATGTTTCTTTTTCTTCTTATTTACTGTATAATTCTGTGTCTGATTTTGAATAATATCAATTCTTAGTGCCAAAATAATATATATATATATTGTATTTCTACAAAATAATGTATGTTACATTAGATTGGTGGTTCCCAACTTATTTCAATACATTCTCCTCTTCGGCTATTTCAGATGTCTTTATTTCTGTCTCACTATGTATAAGAATCACTTTATTTGTTCAATCTTTGATGTATACTTATTTAGTGTTACCCGCAGCTTTTACTCAGTTTGAATAGTTTATTATATGTGTATAAATAAGAATTGTGTTAGTGTGCAGCAAGACTATTGAATTAAATAAATTAACAATATTAATAAAACTATGCCAAATACAGGATAATTTTTCTCCCCCATGTCATCGAAACGAGTCCCAGGGGAGAAATTTTTCCTCAGTCGAGAAAGGCGGCCAGACTGTTATTGCCTAATCTTTTCATCCATGCAAATATACAAATGTAATTATTGATTTTAATTTTATTGTAAGCTGCAATGAATTGCCAAAACTTTTGTTTTGGAGGGATTGGAATTTGATATTTTCTCTGATAATAGTTGAACAACCTAGACTGATTTTGAATGGCTTTAACTTCTGTTTTCTTTTAAAAAATTTAACTTCCAAGTCTGATTGATCAATCTTTTCACAGAAAAGGAGAGTCAACTGTATTCAAAGCACACACAGCAACAGTTCGAAGTGTGCATTTTTCAAGTGATGGACTTTCTCTTTTAACAGCATCTGATGATAAAACAATAAAAATGTGGACTGTCCATCGACAAAAATTTCAATTTTCACTTAATCAACATATGAACTGGGTTCGATCTGCCAGGTATTTAATGTTTTTATTATACTACCGGTAATGTTTGATGTCTATTGGGTTATGTTTGAGTGGTCAAGTTCATAAGCTCAAGGATTGGCCATCGTACATCATATCATTCCTTGTGTGGTATAATTATGTTCACTGAAATCACAAAGACATTCTTGACTGCTTAGCGCCACAGGATGGCTAATTTGAACGCTGTCAGTTAAGACTTCTCGATCACCAAAGTCCTTGAACATGGAACAATTGACAGGTTAAACTATTCCCATGGCCATACCCAACCTGGACTGAAAACCGTACTGGAGGAGGCTATGGTTTGCCGTATGCTTAGCTGATCTTATCAGCTTTCCTCTCCTGCAGAATAAATATGAAGATCCTTTTTACCTACCACAATCATAACTAACCAAATTCCTACTAAATATACAAAGTCCATTAAATCATTGTTACTTTGTGTTTGTTCCAGATTTTCTCCAGATAACAGATTGATTGTATCAGGAAGTGATGATAAAACAGTGAAATTATGGGACAGGTAAGAACTTTTAAATAATATATTGTTATTTACTGCTCAATTCAATTTGTCTCGTAAAGAAATCAGCCAAGAACTTGTTGAAAAATGGTACTCTTTGTTATTATTGACCTGTTTGAATATAAATTTTTATACCAAGTTGAACATTGAACATTTTAGACAGTGCTCAAGACAAGTGTCACTCGCAAAAAACAGTGAATTTGTCAGAATCAAAATATATTGTACAATTACAAGCGGTTAGTGGATTGGTTAGTTACCATTGCACCCGTGACTATCCTGCACAGTTTGAATTTTTGGTGATAATTATGTGCTGCACTACTCGCTGGACTGGGTGGTTCACGTAACCGCTGGTCGGTAGCGGTTTCCTCCACAATAAATACCATACTCGACATATACTGATAAACGAGCGAGACGCCATGATTACACCATATTATGGGCTTCACTCTACCTTGTGATAAATATGAAAATCATATCCTATTTATGTTTCAAGTTATTTATTTCTTATTCAACAGGAATAGTAAAGAATGTATTCACACATTTTTTGAACATGGTGGATTTGTGAATCAAGTAGAATTTCATCCTAGCGGAACATGTATTGCTGCTGCAAGTACAGATTCAACTGTTAAAGTGTGGGATATCAGAACGAATAAATTATTACAACATTATCAAGGTAAGAACATAGGGCATTGGCCTAGTGGTTAGATCGCAAGTTTTGGCATTTGGCATCACTCATGTAGTCTATTCTATCAGTTCTATTCTTTTCCTGTCTTCATTTACATATTATTACAAAACTATTTCAGGATGTATTCGGAATAGTACATTATTCAATTTTGGTCATCCCTGCCCCTGTGTTTATGCTAATTCAATTACCCTTGATATTCCTGTGAAGGCAGTTTATGATATTATTAAATTCTGATTGCCTTATATCGTCACAGTAAACCAAATTAGTCGCATGTCCCATTTTTGGATTGTGAGAAAATTTACATAATTTTTGTAATAGTTTGATTCTAACAGCCAAGCCTAAAATGGACATAAGGCACTACTTAAAAACAACTACAGCCTTGAAACCGAAACCAAAAAATGACCCCTTGTCCAATATAGTCGTGTTAAGGATATATCTTAACTTTTATTTACTTGTTGAATTACAGTTCACAGCGGTGCAGTAAATTCTATATCGTTCCATCCAACTGGTAATTATCTTATATCTGCATCAAACGATTCAACATTGAAAATATTAGATCTTCTCGAAGGAAGACTTTTTTACACTTTACATGGTCATCAGGTACAATTGTGGATTCTTTTATAAGAATAGAATTTGTTACTCAAATTTACTTTTCATACTATTAATAATTTCCCAATTTCATATGCTAGCTTCTTTTGTTAAAGCGATTTCATATTTCAAGTATTCTATATTTCATATTATATATTTTTTTGGCAAAGTTGAATGACGCTCCCACTAGGCAATTCCCTTTGCGACTAATTTTGAATAATACAATTTGATCAATTTTGCCTAAAACCATCAACAAAAATTTATAGAAGTCATGAATAACTATGAAAAGCATTAGTTTGATTATCAGGAATCATCAATTAGACGTTTGAATTCTGTTAATTAAATTATTTTTCTTCGCAAAAGCAAAATTTGGATTGAAGTAATAATCCCCAAAGAATTATTTGCCCATGTTTGTAATCACTATCCTTCAATATCCATACTCCATATGGTATATCCCTATTTCATTCAGGGTCCAGTAACATCGACAGTATTTTCAAGAAACGGGGAATATTTTGCGTCTGGAGGATCTGATGAACAGGTAAGATATAGGATGATCCCGAGATAACAGAACTTGTAAATTTCTTAATTACCTCCATGGAGAAAAGTTATTCGACACTTGAACCTAAGTTTGTGCATGATTGTTCCCAAAAGTTTAAGTAATCTAGGTTGCTTTGCCCAAAATGTTTTCGCTTGAACAGTGGTTCCCATACATTTTAAGCCACGTCCCTTTTTTAGAATTTGTCAAGTCATGTGCCCCCCACCTCAAAAAATGAAAAGTTTTAAAAGAAATATTGCGGGCAAGACCAAATCTAACAAATATTTTTATTTTTAATCAGCTTCACTGATGATGATCAATAATCCTCATCAAACAGTTAATATATTAACCTGGTGCCTAGCCTAACCGATAATCAAATATTTATGTAATTGTTCATGTGCAGTCTAAATCTAGAATGGAGCCTTTATTTAATGTGGAATATCGATTCATAAGGATTTAAAGTAGTGAAAATATGGCAACTCTCGGACTTGAAATCTAATAAAAATATTCTTCTCTCACTTATTTTTCTGGGAGAGTACACTCTATTATTGATTTCTCATTGTGTTTGACGTGATTTCAATTCTATTTCTAGTTTTGAATAAGTAATTTAATTTGATTTCACTCTTAAATTTTCATCTAATTGGATTTTGTTGAAATTTTATAAAGGTTTGTGGTTTGATATGCTCAGTTTAAGGGTGAAAAAAATGACTTTTTTTGCAATTGTCTTCAGAGTGATATCTAAAAAGGATAGCGACTCCAAACTTTTTATTCGACAGTGATTTAAAACTTATTATTTAATTTACTGGGCTTTATTTTTCTGTACTATGGAATGGAAACTTTTTGTTATCCTATGGGTTTCAGCCTCAGCGTGAGATGGGTAAAAATTTATTAGTGGTATCACTGATATTTGTGACTTTCCCATGTATTATTTTAATACCCATAATTAATACTGCTTATATGTAGGATAGCCCACCTGCCGTTCATTATTTTTTATGACAAGCATTTTGGGAATCTGACAGTGTCTTATTATCATTACATAGAATTCTGTTTACGTTTAATAAATTATTTCAATATTCAGTTGCTCATTGAATTTCTAGAAATATCATATATCTCAGGTTATTTTTTCTGACTTAAATTGCACTTAAATTTTATACTTCTTACAAAAATTATTATTTTGGGAGCTGTGGACTAGTGGTCCAATCGTTATACTCAACTATGATGACATCGTAGGTTAAAACCTCCAGTTCAAATCCCATGCCCATCGTTTTACTCAGGGTGTAATAAATTTGGTAGGCAATGCTGAAACTGTAAGATTCCGGTCCTTTCAAATTCTAGTAATTCCCTACCTAACAGTGATTGCTTGTACAGATCCTTGTTCTGAGCATTATTCATGAGTATAGATTTTGTTAGTCACGCCTGTCATTCTTCCATATTATGTTTCTCTGTCATTAGTGGCATTAGTGTTCATATTGATTTCCTGTTATTCATCTTGATGTAATTGGATTCAGGTAATTGTATGGAAAACAAACTTTGATCAAGCTGATTTCGCGGAGAAATTACAAGCCAATCAGAAAAAGCAAACCAGACGAATTCAGTCACATACAGATCCTGATTCAACTGCAGTTCCTGTTCATCGGCCGCATTCATCTACAGAAAGAAATGGACCTTTTTCTCACAGCACTAAGCAAAAAACGATAGATTCTTCCACAGCATTAAGGAATACACATCAAAATAATGACACAGATGTGATGGATATCGGTCCTGCAATGTTCTCAGAACCAGTGGTATGAATTCATAAATTGTGATAAATAACATTGAATAGTTAGTTACTCAAACATATTGTTATCAATTTCACTGACATCTGCTCTGTGTTTTCTCACATAAAAATTAAAAAAGTGTCCGCGAATTTTGTAGGGGATATTTTTGTGCAAGAGGATTGCTGAACACCTTGCCGTCTTAGGGTAGTTTTGTAACCGCTGGCCCTTTTTGACTTCCTCTTGAAGAGGTGTAAAATGTGTAAATGCGTTGCCACAGAACCTATACGCCAACCTCTATGATTAGAGCATCTGATATAAACCAAAGCAATTGAAATTTGTCCAAAAAATAATAATCTGGTTTCATTTTTGTACATGATAGCGGGGAATGGAGGACTTTCATGCGTCGCCTGCTGATCGATCCTTGAGATCACAACAAGGAAGAAGACAAAAACAACATCAAGAGAATCATCAACAACAAGATGAACCAAAGTATTCATCGAGCATTACAGCACCTCTCGAAGAACAAACGATTCCTCCAAAAATTACAGCGACATTAGAACAAATTGTCGGTCAATTGGATATGTTAACACAGGTGTGTGATGATAATTTTATTATTATTACCTTACTTATGCTCCGAAAGTTGCAAATAAGCGTACAAAAACATATCTTGCTTAAAACACAATGACATGTGTCGTCATTTTTTTTCATCATAAAGTTTTTGTCCTGAAATGATATTACTTTTAAGTGTGGAATCTTTTCTGCTCTTTTGTGAGTCCATAAATACTTGCAGATACAATATTTGGGGGTAAGTACCTTGAAACCTGAATAGAAATACAATGATATGTGATTTCCATACAGACAATGACTATACTGGAACAGAGAATGACAATGGCAGAAGATAAATTGAAAGAATGTCTTGATAATCAACAAAAGATTACATTACAAGTTCGACCATCTGACTAAATGCAAAATGCGGCGAAATAAAACTTGCCTCCAGTCTGTGAACCTTCATTGCAGTCAAAGATTGGGGAGGGCATCGTCATATAAATAAATACATCTGTAAATAAGAAAATGTTATAAGAAATATTAGGAGACTTTGTTATGATAAAAACTTTTTCTCCTTTTTTTGTTTAGCGCTCGTAATTTCCGTATTTGTTTATCAATTTTGAGACATAGGTTTTCATGTTACTGAGGCATGGTTCATGTGTATGAATGCAATTCTCATTGTTTTGAGTGTCTCTCCTTTATAAATGCTATTTCATCTTCAAGTATCAGGACACAAATGAGCTTGTCAGCAATGTGGGCGTGGCTTGAAGATTTCAGTCTAATTTTCTTGACGGGAAGAATGAATTAATGTAGTATTCTTGGAAATTTTGTTATTATTTATTAAAGGTGACTGAGAATTATTTATTTGTCAAATTACTTCATTTCTAAACTGATAGAAAAACAGATTTTCTATCCCAATTACACAAAATAATAATGGAGTAATAAATACTGGGTAAAAATATGTATACTTTGTGATCGATGCTCCATTCTCTCCAGTTTATCATTATGTTCTGTTAAGTAAATGTTAATGACTAAATTGTATTATTTACAATTGTACATTTTTGTTTGTCTTCACGAATGTTCCACCATATTTCTTTGAGTTGCTCATATATATTATGACAATTTTGCATTAACTGAAAGTAGGGGTGGGGTGATGGCATTCACCTGAAAATTACAATTTTTTCAGTTTCATGTTAAACTATTACGCAATATTTGGAGGGGAAATGTGCCACATCCAACTTTTGTTCAATATTGTTTTGGTACAATCACTTTGGAAAATATAAATTCTCTCAATAAATACCAATCCATTTTATTGTAACCCTTGCCGAACTTGAAAGATTCTATTCATTCCAAAAGAGGTTGCTTCTGGTGTATCGGGATAGGACGTGGTCAATGCTAGGCCTACACTAAAATTCATTCTAAATTTGTAATTATTAATTGGAATATATTTGTAAAACTTCATCTAACACCATTGGTTCAAAGCAATCTTCCCTATTTACCCCTTTTGGATCGGCCTATGTCTCCTCTGTCTTCAATATGTACAAGACCTTTTGTTATACTTACATTGTTATGCTGCTATTATTAGATTAGCTTATTCGAATTAGTGTTTAGTATTTTGATCTTTTTTATTTTCATCATTTGTGTGATGTGCTCAACTCTATATATATTTTATACAAATAAATGGCTGTTCGTTTATAGGAGCTAGTGGGGTAGAATGGTAGGATGGGAAGCTGTGGTACAGTCAGCTGTCTTTTGTGTATCTGAATTTTGAATAAGTGTTACCAGACTCGCTATTGAACACTATCTTTCAACATGTGAACCGAGTAAAAAAATCGCAATGCGCGATCAACCTGTCACAACTATTGAAACAGTGTTTGAACTAATTTAAAAAGCAAGAGAACAATAAAATATCAATTGAAGGTAATTTATTTCGGACTCTGTGGCGCAAGAACAACACAATTCACAAGACTGAAATTTTGCTAAGTTGCCAAAAGCTACTAATGAGGTTTAAAACAAAATGTAAATGCGCTACAAGGGCAGTCTCACTATATGTCATAAATAAATAGTAAAAAAACACGGTAGTCTTCGATCAGCCTCGACGCGTGCGATAATAAATTGCATTAGAACCACATATAGGCAGTAGCATTGGGTATACAGAAATACCGCTAAGTATTGAATTCGGACACATGTTTGACTGGGCTTTTTAGGTTGTATGTATTGTAGGTTGTACATGATTTTCAAAATCAAGATGAAACATCGCATCAAATTTGATTTCAAATCAAAATGTATCATCCTGTTGGAATATTGAATATAACTGTTTAAACTTTTTTTTGCAATGGAAGGGGAATCATATGAAGTGAGCTTCGCAAAAAGATGATTGCCTCGCATTAACTTCTACTGGTAACGGTCGTGTTTTCAAGCAAATGAAGTTATTGTATCTGACCACTTGAGGGAGATAAACGACCATATGTGTTGTCACGCTTAATTAACGTCAGAATTAATAAAAGTTGCCATATTTTCCCAAATTAAGTCATAAATAGGTTCGAGTGAGGTTCATCACTAAAATACGACATAAATGTCATTCAAATGTCGATTGGAAATATTCTTCGGACTAGCCGGCTAGTAGATCAATTTGTCGCGTAAAAATTTGGCACATTCTGACTTGTCAATAAATATTTATGGAAAAACCTTTGTTAAAACCGATGGCATTTTACAGAAAAAACTCATTTGAATCTGGCAACTGTTAACTTAAGAGAGTAGTAAAAAACTTAAACGTTTACCAGATGACTAACTTGGGGACTTAAATAATGCTTACCTGTGATATTTGAACTGGGTCATATAATATTGTTTTGGTACTGTCTCAATTTTTGCAACAGTGCTTATTTGCAGTTTTTGAATGCACGAATTATATTAATAGTTTAGTCTGTAATACTTCGCCATGCTTTATTCCTAACACGCTCATGAAACCGGAAATTAATATGCATTAGGGCAAGGTTTTAATCCTTTAAAAGTAACAATTAGCTCATTGAAACGGTTTCTGCGAAATTCGCCATACAATTATAACCAGAATAAGTTGGTAGTATCAGTAAAACTAAAGAAAGTATGTTTAGTCTAGCCTAGGCTAAGAAGAAGTCACAGTAACAGGATTTCGTCAGATAATAACTATGGGACGGTTATAGGGAGCGCGATCAACCCTAGGAATGGAATAGAATAAAAACGTTGGACATCCTGCACAATTTGAATACGGATTTGGGCGATTTGTCCTGGAATTAAAGGTAACTATCTATCATACAAACCAACATTTTCTGTGATATTATATAACACGTTATCTGAGAGGCCACATCGCCCAGAGGTATCATGTTTCCTTGACATTATTATGTAACAATATAACCTCTAGTGTAAAGACAGAAAAATTATTTTATTTCAAACAGACATATCTCTAAAAAAGGATTTGGTATTAACCCATAATTCTGAAGTATTCGTAACCAAATGTTTATTTAAAAACTACCTGTCGTCTACATGGAAGAGAATCTTTTTTTGTGTGGGTGGATGTTATCACTGGATAAATTTGGAGTTTAGTGTCTAGTTGCAAATTCTCCATATATGTGATTCAGGACCTTGTGTCGGGTAATTTATTTGTCTTGTGGTTATAATATTCATTTGTTCATAATCAGACGACTATTGACACAGCACTTTAAATGAGGAATAGAAGAGAATTTATTTTTTGCTGGTTTACTTGGTGTCGCGTTCTCGCGTGGGTTTTGTAAAATGAATTTGTCTTTGTCAGACTACTCATTTAAATATTCGTGAAAACATACCTAGGCTTGAAGTAGAAGTCATTTCTTGCTACTAAAAGCAAGTGCTGATTGCTGCGATATTTGTAAGTTTGATGACGACGCCGGCGAATTAGATGTATCGGAAATATGCTGGCAAAGTCGCTGAGTCAATCATATATACCCGTTATTGGGATGGTAGAATTTGATGATAATAAATTCACAATATTTATTGCATTGAAATTAAAAATCATATTAATTCATCTCAATTTGGCGATCAATAAATGAGGTTGAGTTTTTGTGCACTTTCGTCTCGCTATTTGATAAGTTCATATCTTGTGTGACCCGAACTGACGGCAAAATCTTTTTTTTCGTGTTAGCCAGGCGAGATAATAATTGTACAAAATATAAAAAATATTTACCTTCGTAATGCTTTCTTTTGTAAAGGTATCGTTGTGTCAATTGGGGGTTATCGTTTTAGTATTGTGTCACTGTACTTCTCCATGGCTGAGAAATGCCTCAAAAGAGAAAAATGTATTTTGTTGGGATTAAGAACGAAAAATTGCAATAATACGCTATGCATAGATGGTATCATTTCTATCTTTTTAACAGCTCGTCATCATATCATTCGGTCGAGAATGTTTTTGAACATAAAACCTTATTTGGTACGACGTTGTTTACCTTTGTTTCTTTCAATCAAACAGTTTGATTGGTGATTATTAGCTGGCTAAAAAATACTTCGAAAACAAAAACATGTACGGTATGATTTTGTAATCGCTACAAATTGATAATAGTCGCGAATTTCTTTTAGTGGGTTAAGAGACAAAAATTCACATTTCCCCGAACAAAACTAACTATCGATCACATCCGAGGTGTGAAAATATATGCCCCGTGGATTAATTACTAACACCGATTTCCTGTAGCTTTTTAAAAGCTTATCGGGCGATAATAACGAGAACCAGCGCGGTAAACAGTCAGTAACAACCTTATAATATCCGAATTCTTTATCTCATGTTTCCCGGTGTTTCTTTAAATTACTTTTGAAATCCGCTCGTACGAAGAGAGGCTCTAGACGTTTCTTGTTTCTTTATTATCTCAGCGGGGACGATAGATAAACGAGACATTAGTCACCGGCTCACTCCTCATTTCTCTTTACGTTACTTCCTACTAACTCAGTTTTCCTTTTTCTTTTTTAGCGCAAGGAATGTTATAGTCGCTTGTAACGACCAACTTTTTTCACATCCTGTAAGTTTATTTGCCGGGAGAAAGAGTGAGACGAAAAAGTTGGAGTAAACGAGCATGGCGCACTTCCTTGATTCATATATTACGCAGAGAAGGCTCGATACCTTTTCATTCATAAATGCTCTTTGCAGCGCCAGTTTGCCGTTCAGGTTTTAGTTTGGTTCGTCGCATTGTTTTGTCCATAATATACTTTGGATGTTACGATTTGTAATGTCACCATCAATCTGATTGTGAGGTATCTTCAGTTTTACAAAAATTAATATACGGTAATGGCATACCATGTGCCTAACCGGACATATCAAGTAGGCACTTGAGTGTGGAAGAATAGCAGAAATAGTTCGCGAGCCACTGTCAAAGGCACTCAAGTGGCGAATACTGAGAAAAGCAACAGCAGCTAGTTAGTCAGTCATAAGTTTTCAGTGATTCTCATATTTTTGACATCTATTTTCAGATTACATTCTAATTAGTTACATGCTGATAGTCGACTTATAAAAGCGAATAGCATAAATATGCATTTGACAACTTCGGCGAAATCTAATAATCTGTGTTACAAAGGGACTGAGAGCTTGAGGGACGAACTTTACCGGGGAGACGACGTGCTTTTACTGGATTGTAGGGGCAACGAAGAGTACCGCAGTGGCCACATCAAGGGAGCATATAATATTATACTTCCCCAACTTATGCTTCGCAGGCTCAAGGCCAACAAGTTACCTCTGAAAAATTTAGTTCCGCCAACACTCAAACAAGAAAAGGAAGCATTTTTAGCTAAAACTTCGACACATCTTGTGATAATTTACGACCAATATTCGAACGAAGTAAACAGCAACGAATCTGACTTGCCGATTTTACTTCACAACAGAATGTCTCACGAAGGCTGCCGAGTTGCCATTTTGAAAGGTAATTTACGTTTATTGGTGACTATCTAATCAGCGATACTACTTGGATTTCGTTGACTTTTCTAGGACTGGAGTATAAACCTGTGCTATGATCTAATTATACAAATTAAAAATTTCCCAATCCTAGTTAACATGTGTCACGTTATCCCATATTTGTCACAGCATACCGCCGCTTGTTTGTGCCAAAATGTGACGTGCATTTCACGCAAAGTGATCAGCACTAATATGAGAGTGCGTTACTGCATTGAGTTAATTTTAATACATCTAATTCATTCACAATTAATATCAATAAGAAACTGATTATGATCTGATGTGTAATGCCATGAAACGAATTATGAGCCAAAAGGAAGCTACATGCGGATGTCGTGAACTGGAACTTATACATTCGGAAGAAGCCAAATTGATTTAATTTTAAAAACGTATTTTCTACATTAGCCTTGTCATCGTACTAGTGGATCGTACTATCGTACTAGTTTATTGCCTTCACTCGTCGATTGTAAGGCTGATATCTTTTTAGTCGTCTTTTAGTTACTGAATGATACACTCTCATTACCAAAGTCCTTAAGCAGCCAGCCAACCGTAATCTTACGGAGCGTGCTTTTCTAAGTTTTTTCTATTTATGTCTCGTAAATTAAAAAATCAGGGTTTTACACACCGGTAATAAATAGCCCAAAAGGCGTATATCCACCGATGATTCACCTACTCTTTTTATTCAGCAAATTTAACTGTTCAAATTTAAATTAAACATTAAAATTGGAGGTAAATAGAGTTTGAAAAGAAATAAATAAAAAAGCGGATGATAGCGATCGCTATGTAAAGACCGAGTGATTCATAAAATTTACTCAGGCGCGTTATCATACAAAGCCTTGTCACGCGATGCACTATGTAAAATAACCCGTACAGAACAAGCAGAAATATTCGCGAAAACATATTTGATCGAGCATGGATTCGTTATATATCAAAAATTCTTGGACAACACAATGCGTTTTATATAATTATATTAATTTAAGTTTAATTTTTGGACAATACAATTTGCTAAACACGGAAAAATTTCGATTTGTACGTGTATTGAACACAAATCGACCATGACATTTATGTTACAGGTTGTATGTAGATATATAGATTTAATTACAATCACGCCCCCACAATTTTGCGGTAAAGATATTATAGTCTGTTTTGTGTATGCGTACCTTCAGCTGTTCCCGTTTGTTAGTTGAGTAATTGTTTGTTATTTCGCCGCGGAATTCGCATTTATTCCCCTGTGCATTGAAGTTAAAGATCGTTTTGATATAATACACGGGATACGAAAATAACTTGCAACGAGTGACGTTATCAAAGAATAACTAGTTATTAACCTTGTTGAAAATGCGACCTCACTGGAAGCATGTCAAAACTTTATATCATATATAAATATAATATATAAGTACTGATTTTTAATAGTGGTTTTGTTGAAAGTTAGGTAAATCCAATAAAAAGTGAAATAAATTTTCTTGACTGGGAAGCATTATTTATTTACTCAATGGCGCCCATTTTCACCTTTGAATTGTACCGATATAACGACGTCAGTAAAATTGACATTTCAAGGCCTGAAGCAACATGACCCTGTCGTACGGCTGCTGTAATTAAAAAGCCCGACAAGCGCTGTAAGATGATTTTCGGAGATTAATTCCAACGACAACATTTACAAACGCCCTTATTCTGCAATAATTTAACAAAGACTTGCTTCATGAATACATTACATTTTGTTTTATTTATAGGTGGTTATTCCAGATTTCATGCTGATCATCCAGAATTCTGTTCGAATGTGAACGAATCCCAAATGAACGATGATGCTGACGACGAAGACGGAAACAGCAGCAGCGGGTCTCACAGCGCCGACGATAGTTCACAAAGATCACCCACAAATGGACGGTGTCAACCCCCAGTTTTGGGACTTGGAGCATTGCGATTATGTGACCCAAGTCCACCACAGCCCATCGCAGTTGCTTCGCCAAAACTTGCCAATATTGAAGGCGGTGGATTATTAGCAAGAAGATCCCGTCGTAATGGTCGCAAAATTCCAGCCCCTCTTACAATCAATAGCGAAGGAGAATCGGAAAACACAAACAGCACTGCTTCTTCGGCGTCAGAAGTCGCGCCCTCAAACACTCCTTTGTCATCATCATGTCCCGAGCAAAAGCCATGCCATAAGTTTCTTACTAAGCTGCCAAATACGAACTCATCCACGTCACCATCATCGTTTCCAACCTACGGTAACGCGACCGCTCCCGTGGAAATACTACCATCCCTATTTCTTGGGTGTGCCCGGGACTCGGCCAGTGCCGAAATATTGGCAGAGTACAATATCACTTATATTTTGAACGTGACTCCTAATTTGCCGAACGTTTTCGAGAAAGATCCAAATTATCATTACAAGCAAATCGCAATATCGGATCATTGGAGTCAAAATTTGTCTCAATTCTTCCCAGAGGCTATCAGTTTTATTGGTAAGTACAAGTTTTATAATTTTCTATTTGTTCGAATTTCCTGAATGTCTCTAGTATGTTGTCATGCACTTGTTCTTCAGTACTCCGAATTGGCAATGCCAATGAATCATTTTACGCATCGCGCACTGTGCGAGACACACTCAATCTACATCCGGCAAGCGCTACTTCAATATACGAGGGTTGCCAAACCGCTTGCATATAATAATTTCGTTAAACTTTGGTGTGAACCATAAGTCATCATCGCCAATAATGGTTTATTTAAAACTCAAGTTAAAATTAATGGTACTAAAATTTCGCCCACGTGCTTTAATTGTTATTTCATGCAGCGCTCGAAAAGCATACTCAACCTTCTGGAAAATGCCCGATGCCTCTGAATGTCCTATTAATAACTTGTAGTCTAATAATAATAATATAGGTGTGATTTTGTATGACCTGACGTCACAAAGCTTTTTGTTTTGATATTGAAATATTGTGTTGAAAGTCGACGTCGCGTTGTTGTCATAGCGTTATGCTGTGTTTGGCTAATGTTCTTCAACTCCCTGAATCTGCTATGATTTTGACATCATTAGAATTTTAATCGTACAATCAGTCAAAAAGATAAGGAAATCTAATTTAGAATTGGAGAGAGAATTTTACTATTGTTCTCATATCCGTGGAATTACCGTTATAAATTTCGAACAATGCGCGCGCTTCCTCTGCGATAGGAAACGGATTAAAAAACAAAAGCATAACGGGAGACGCGCGCTTTGTTTGGTTCCCATACCGATCATTTGTGAGCTAATCTCGACTCCCGCCAAGGTGGCGTATTCAATAGAATTCGATTTTCTTTTTATTTCAATTTACCATCTGCCGTCTGCGACCTAGGTACCATTCACCATATTTTTGTTAAGACGTTACATACGGAACAACGCGTTACATACACCAGAGCACTAAGCTATTTTCGCTATAACAACAGGCCTATTCATTAAAGTAAACGCCCTAGGGCGTCTTCCGCGGATTATCACAAGCAGGTTTACTTTACTGTCATGTATAACTGTAGGAGTCAATTCATGAAATTCTTTTTAGCCAAAGATTTAATGAATAGTTGTTTACAAGTTTTCTATCGTGAACTTTGAGTCTTTACAACGATGAAAAAACATTAATTAAAATCTAATCTAAATAACGCAAAAATGTGAAATATTGGTGCTCTTAAATCTAACGAGAGGCATTCGATTTTACGATTTTACAAAATTCAGTATTCAGTATTCAACTATGACGCGACAATACTTTCTTATCAACTGTTATGGTGACGTTATATGTATGTCATTTTACATTCCCCAGTCTCAAACATGACATAGTCATCTTATTTAATGTTTTGAACACATTTATCATTTCCTTGAGAGAAAAGAACTTATGACCAAATCATGTTTTAACACACATTTTACGACTTAAAATGACCCCTGAAATAGTTACATCAGCGACACGGGGTCGCGATTTTGTTGTTTCTTACTTAATCTGATTTTAGTTTCGGGATACGTGACCGAAATTTCAGTATTCTTTCTACTGTTTCTAGCGCCGGATATGAAAACGTCCACGACTGAAATAGGCGGAACGTGTCGTCGTCGCAATACCTGAACGATGAAATATATTTCGTTCACAATGAGAATAGCACGTACTAAACATGTTATTGTGATACTTTTGGTTTCAAAACAGCATCAAAATAAGTTAACCCTTGTCAGAAGGGTAAAATTTGAACCAAATATATCGATCACCGACATTATACATTTTGGGACATATTAGAATTTTAACTCCGTCGTGTACGAACTTGCTTATTAATTTGTTGCTTATCCTAAGCTGGTTGGCGGGTCAATATATATCCTTGCGACACGGCAGTTCCGGTAGTATTCAAATTAACCCGTCATTTAATGGACTATTCATTTTGATATTAACGTCAAAATATTTTTGTCCTCATCAATCGTTTAGATCATTAATTTTAACACGCTTAGACTGGATTGGAAATGTTGTTGTTGGCATTTAAAACATGATGAACATCACGATCCTTCACGTAACGTAACATAAAATCAATTTTTTGGCCGTTTCCGGAAGCTTCTATTTCCGTTCCATTTTCAGTGGAATTTTATAAAATGATATTATTCAAACTCGTATCATTCAGACATGTAATTAATCCAACTCCTTCCCATGAATGCATCTTTATAAAGATTCTGACAGTATTGAACTTGGTATTATAAGAGTGCGCAGTTGACTGAGGCACTTAATTGTATAACGACACTTTTGCATACGCATTTCAAAATAATTGATTACGTTGGTTATGCTGTCATACCATACACATATATGAAGAATATTAATATATATATATGCAAATAAAGGAAGCGGATGTCACAAAATTTTGTAATTAAATATGAACTTTTTGCGTGTATAGCAGATTATATATATCGTACTTATCGATACATGCCTGTTCCTTACAAGTCGTTTTCACTAATTCCCGACGTGTCGAGTATGCAAGCTGGTACATTATTATTATTTTTACTAAATTTTTTGGAATGTGTTTTTGTTCCGATTTTTTAATAGTTAACTTGGACTGTCAAATAAATTGTTGTTTACGGCTTTTTAATGTAGCGACGCGGACATATAGCACGTTTGTCATAATTTAGTCGTTGAACAACGGATGTCAGTAATCGGTTATTTATTGAGTAATGAACACGTATATGACTTATTACCAAACAATCCAAATTCAAGGATATCCTCATATTCAGCTATACTTTCCAAGCTGGGACAAATTCATCACGATGCGAGTTTTTTTTATTGTGATGGGTTGTAAGCAAAATCAATTTTACATTTCTGTTCACTATCAAATTCCACATTCCTACATTGTGTAGGTTTATGTGTGTAAATATACTCGAGCATCGTGTCGCGTGACAATGCCTTATCCTGTAAAGCCAAAAATGGCAACGCCAGTGTTTATCTGTAAATTTGATGCATTGTCGAAATTGGCCTTCGTGTGCTCGAGGTAAGATCGGTAAGATCGCTTTCCGCGCGACAATACTGTTATTTGTTTGGAGTGTAAGCCCGCGGTAAAGCTGAAATAAGTGTAACTTTACTTCACTGCTATATTCGGCAGTGAGCCTTCTCCAATTGTCTATAAACTAAAAACCCTCAGTTGTCTGGAGTCGACGGTTCGCACGGCTATCGTGCCCAGAGACCGTAACAGTAATCCATGAAATCCGAAAACATTCTCACACCAATTAACCCCTTTTTGACAATTGTCATTGGAATTAGTGTTGGTAATTTACAAACTTGCGCTGAAAGGGTCAAAAGCGCTGTCTCAATCGGCGAAACCGGATCCTTTTCTCTCTGTTTACAATCGCATCACGGATCATTGCACACGACCCAGGGACGCCAAAGTTATCCTGAATTATAGTTCGGCGCGTAAAATTGTCATGTTATGAGAAACTCGAATAGAGACACTTGAAATTGGGCATTACAAACCAGTGCATAATACACTATATTTGGATGTTCAACCAAGTACCGTGACTTGAATCTATCGTAATTATTATGGTGGAATTCAAATGATGTATGCGTCGACTGCTAAAACCCGATAAGGTGGCAACGTCTCTGGTATGCTAATTAGTTAGCATTTGAAGCTTTCGCTGACCGCAAGACATTTCCTTTCTGCGCTAATACATCCTTTTCGTAGTCTGCTTACGTGTGCAGCCTTGTTTGTAGAGCAAAGAGCAAACGCTCATACACTCCCTTATCTATTTTAAATAAGTAGCGTCAGCATGCTTATTATTTCTAATATATATTTTATTGAAAGAAACGATCCGAGAATTTGGTTTAATATTTAACCGTATAAAGTATGCGCAACATGAAATATGTCAGTGATTGTTTAATTATTCGAACACCTATTTTAGATATTGTGACGTAAGTTTTTCATTGTTGAAATATTTTCTACATTTACCCTAAATTATCGTTGCCAGAATTTCATATATATTATTGCTCAAATCTCGAAATCGGCTGTAAACTAAAACATCCATTTGATGTAAGATAGCGTGCGAATGGCCTTTTTGTCAAGCAACACCTAGTCATATAATAGTATAGAGAATAGGACGCAAAACCACACGCCCTTAACCCAACAACGCTGCGTTCATGCATATATGGTCCGTGTATGAAACCTCTATTGGCGACAAGGGTAAGCCATAAATTGCTATGGAGGATATAAGAACAGGGTTTAGTGCAGACCACAAAATCACCAGAGATTTGTTTGTTTTTATAAACGTTTTCTCTTGTTTCTTTTTCGTCTTCACCTTGATCGATTCTTATCGTCGAATTTAGGTATTTTCAAACGAATAATGCACGCGATGTTGCTCGTCACCATGGTATCACTTCTCAATTTTACTTTCACTGTATCCAAAATTAAACTCTTAAAACTGAGAATTATTTTTATATTCAGACCTTTTAAAAATGTTAGGAATGGTAATGTAACACTACATTTTACTATATTACTCCAAAAAACTGAATTTCGGTCTAAAATTTTCACCTAAGCGTCTCATTTTCAGTTGTATTTTTGCTTTTAATTCCCGCCTGGAAAAAATAATTATCTTTTATTATCGGTTACGGATCACGACGTGTCAATTAGAGATGTCGCGTTTTGGGTAGATTAAGAATAGGTATTTGAGAAATCCTAATTGTATAATATACGTCACTCGTTTTAATAGGCTTGTTCTTGAAAAAAAGTATTATATTGCGAAACCAGGTGTTAGTTTACTTGATACAACAGTATAAAATGGCGTTGAAACACTCAAATATGGCCTGCGGTGTAAAACCACACGAACACAAAAACTTTTAATTTACAAGTTAGCCGTTTTTGTCCAAATAGATAATCATAAAGCATGCCGTGCGACGAGGTCTGTTTAACATATCTGCGATACCTATCGTCAACAAAAGTGGATAAATATAGAATCTATAACATTCTTCACATAGCATGACATCAGCATACAGTGTGTTTGTTAGATATATTGAGATTTAGTTTCAAACTAAGTTAGATTTCTTTACCTGTTTGCGTGTAAGCGTGCCCGTATTCTTGTCTATTTTTCCGGTTTGGTGGCCTGGACTGTAGCAAAACTGTGTTCAATTTTAAATATAAATACATCTCCTTATGTGTTTTTGTAATGTGCTGATGGCGATGAAGCATAAAATAACCATTACCTATTTTTTTAACAGACGAAGCAAGATCAAAAAATTGCGGTGTTTTGGTCCACTGTCTTGCTGGAATCAGTCGTTCCGCGACTGTCACGGTTGCGTACTTGATGCAAAAGAATAACTGGTCTCTCAACGACGCTTACGACTTCGTTAAACAGCGAAAGAACAACGTTTCACCAAATTTCAACTTCATGGGACAACTTCTAGATTTCGAAAAGACTTTGGGAGTTTGTCAAGAAGCAGTAGATAGCGGAATATCGTCATCATCGTCTTCAAACTCACCGCCGACATTGTTTTTCACGTCACCGCCACCGCCGACTCCGTCAGCTCTTCCAGTCTGTACCAGTAATGGAGTAATGTCATCTTGTGCCAGCGGGTCTGGATCGGCACACAAGGAGCACAGAAGCGTCTTTTGCCTTCCAACACCAATGTCATGAACGAGCTTCACCAGCTAAACTAAAGAATCCTGAAACGACGCAAAACGTCAGATGAGCGCACGGCGGGAAAAACTTGATACAAACCATGTGACAATGGTTGGGATATGCACTGTGTAAGGCGAATGAAGATGAAATTTTGTCGTGGACAGCTTGTTAAACAAACTATACATTCTTTGACAAGAGAAGGTAGACCTTTGTTTAGGTTTGCCAACTCGCCAACAATAGAGACGAACAGAACACTTAGATAGGATTAGTTAAAGTTATCACTCAACAATGCATTTTAGAATAGATGACAATTATGGGCTCAAGTTAAAATCGCCCTTAACCGATAAATATTATTATGCACTTGAATATGATTTTCGAAAAATTCAGTTTATAGGCCGTGCCAAATTCTTTTGAATTTCAATAAAGTGCTTTTTCTTCTTAATTTTCGCCTACCCTGTAAAAGTTCGATTCTTTATTTTTACTTCGTTGTGCTTGTTCATTATTTTATTTTATGTTGAATTCTCAACTGATCGTATCTTTATTTCAAACAAACATAGAATCTTTTTTGATATTATTACTTTTGTGCTGCTTAATCAATTTAGTACAATTATTTTATTTACTGCTATTGTGACATAATTTCTGATACAGTTTCCCTCACTAAACCAATTACAGATTTATTTCAAATTGAAAAAAAAAGTCGGCGAGGTTGAAACAAATTGACTTTTGATATTCAAGGCCAATTGCCGCTGGATTCGGAGACAGTCGCCACTCCACCACGTCATTAACCCTTCTTCGGGGGATAAATATTGTTTTGATTTTTGACGAGATTCTCATTTTGGCAACCAGCCTTTTGGCTTTTCCTAAAACCATGGCATACTGGATCACAAATTATTTTTATTGTTATTCTTATCATTGCTATTACGATAAGTCGCTGTAATAATTTTCTTTTATGTTTAATGCGAATGAAATGTCTTATTTTCCAGCTTGTTCTCGCGAATGACTTATTGAATTAACTCGAATAAATTATCTACTGCAAACTGATTTACTCTTTTGAATATTTGGTGGCAGAGTTTGAATTGAGCAGAGGCCAGAAGCCCTATTTTATGTAAGCGAGCGGTCTGGGTTAGGATAGGTGCAGATGCGGTGTTTTAGATATTCGCCAAAGACACATTTACTGACATTATAAAACAGGTAGCGTAAATTGCACCGGTGAACTACAAATTTACGGTGCATTTGAAACGAGGCTACTGGAATTTTATGGAACCACGCTGACGTATCCCATCGTTATTTGCCCCACCATTTTGTGTATACATTCTTTGATTCCGTTGATAACAGGCTGAGATAAGTTAAGTTTCATAACGCAATATAAACAAAATCCACTCCAAAAAGACCAGGATTTTACGAAACTAGGGTTGGGATAATGACTTCAAACTTCAGAATATAGCCTAAGTCACTGTAGGTGATTCCTATACCAAGGCCCTTCCCAATCGGGCTACGAATCATATGACGTGCTTTGGATCCGTTTGTTACCAGGCTTATTTTAAAAATATATAGACCCAGTTCTCGTAGTGTTGAATGTTGTTAAAATAGTGAGCCAAATAAAGCACTCGAGTTATGGCTGAGTGTCGATTCATACCTCCAAAAGCCGCCAATCAAACACCCGATGAAATGTATAACAATATGAACTTGAATTGACGACCGACTGATGGGGATTCATTGAATTTCATCTTCATTGAAACGAATACGCGCATGCAGCATTGTAATTTCTTCAATGTGGATACTGGATATCTATTGGTAAATATTGTATTAATTTTTCCTAATTTCATCGTGGGTAACAATTAGTAGTTAATAGTCGTTAACTTCACTAAGTTTAACAGATAAAAAAGCTTTGGGATTCCACGAGGCATTATCAATTTCTTACCCGTGCGAGCGCGATGAAATACCGGTAGCGTAGTGCTTAGGCAACAGTATGTGATTGTGCAATCCCATGATAGAGCGTTCTAAAAAGTACACTACATGGTAACGTAATAATTTCTTTATATTATTACGACGAGTTGAATTAAAACTATGGGAATAGGAGCCATTTTGCTCAAATTGAGCCTGAAATGAGCCATGAAAAGCGGAGAATAAAAACATTATAATCGCCTATTCGCAATTTTACTCGGCCACTTTGTTTTGTTTAAAATAAATACATCTGTTCCGTTCTTCAAATCTTTCGATTATCGTATCCAGACAAAGTCACCCTCAATATAAAATCGTAGGTAACTGACCGACAGTACTCTGTCAATTCTTCGATTTTACCAACATCCATGTCATAAATTTTTAAGAGCCTTGCACCGTGTACTCCAGATGCTATACGAGAAGACGGAAATCAGTTAAAATTCGCGTGTTAACTTCAAATTGTTGGTTGGTATCATAGCTGTAGTACTATTCTGGTATAGTTTTTACGACCATTTGTCAGCGATTTCATCACTTGCGGTAACAAAAGGAGTATAAGTTAGGTACATAAACCCACAAATGACGTCATACTGGCTGTTCGTGTTGACAGACCACTATACCAACTCCATTGGGAAGAATTTAATTGCGTATGGTCGCGAGGTCGAATTGAGCCACGCCGAGGTTATGCGTTTACTTGTTTGATAAAGGATTTTCAATAGGATATTCGATTTGTTTCTAGAAGCTATTCAGAATTAAAATTGAACGAATACGTGGTTAAAAATCTGGGCCTGCCATTCAGTTCACGATCCGAAGCTTGAAGAGGTTTCCCCTTCAGGCCAAACAAAATGCCTTGAGCATTTACAATATTTTTCATTACAAAAATCTTGTCATAAACTCACCTAAACCAAAAAATGCTGTATATTATACCATAATTATATTGATACTGTAATTACTTCTGTCAAAGCGGGGTCAAAGGTTATGAAATAGATTATGAGAATCATATTTAAATCTCAGGTAGCGGATATATACTAACGGAAGTTTTAGCTTATTGCATGTAAGCCAAAAACAATCAAGCATGCTGGCGTATGGTAGAAGGGATTTTTGCATAGATGCCAAATGACTTTGAACCGAAATACCTGCGAATGTCTCCAAGAGATATATCAAGGTATACGCCATTTTCAAAGTCAAATTAAATGCTGGCTAATACCGACCGCATTTAGTTATTCAAACTATTTTTCAAGGAAAGCACGGAAAAGTAAAATCTAGCAAGGACAAACTAATTTCCTATCACGTTATTACGTCACAAAATAGCACCGGAAAATGCGACAGCCAGTTTCGGGCTGTCTGGCAAACTTATTCCACGATTTCTTTGTTTCAATTTAGTTCTTTTTTAACATGATATAACGTTCCGGTTGCCAACTGTTACGTCACTGTGATTACGGCACAATCCACTTAATCTAAATTTATTCGCGAAGTTTCATTCATGACTGAAATATACTTTCGGTGCGTAACCTTCTGACATACCTGCAGTCCTACACATTGTCATTTTGACCATGTGCTTATTTACATTAGTCGTAACAGCATTTTAATATTTTTTTGAAATATGTCATTTATGACATCATCTTAGAAAAGCAATTTGCAAATTTTACAATTAATTCGAAAATTGGACTTTAACCTTACTTTTTGAATTTTGTTGATCGGCTGATGTTCATTTTTTTGCGTCGTTAACATTTTGTGCCAATTAATTACAAAGATCATGTGCGGTCTTTGGATACACATTGACGTCGGATTATTTTCAATAATATCGCGGGTCAAAGGTGGGAAAGGGTCATACGTTCCAAATCCATATAGTCCTACGCAATGGAAAGCTATTCCGGTTAGCTACACGCATGGAAGGTTTTCACCTCTTACAAAAATATTTAAAGTTGTATAGTTTCTAGTAGGAAATATACACCGGACATACGCATTCCTATCGGGTAAAACCCTTGTTTTGCAGGCCTACCCGGATACATGAATGGTTGCAAACGCCCCAAAGCACTATTTCGTTCTTTCCCTAGTAAATTTGCGTAATCTTTTCAGAGTCTACAAAAAACTGAAGATAACATTTTACTTTGCTCATAGTATTCCTACGATAGATTCCGTGAAAAGTTATTCATTCTGTTAGTATTACTTTAATACACTCTTAACCTTCGACCCGGTTGACGTAGGTTAGGCACTCCATCGTGTCAACTTACAATGGAAGTTTATTTTTAACTTCCTTTGAATAAAAGGGAATAAGCGTATGGAACATGGTGGCATAGATATAACGACGGTAGGTGATTCCTTCATCGGTATTCATTGCGGGATCAAGTTGCGCTGTCAATGGTATGATAAATAATGATATTTTTAAACTACATTTTTTGCTACGTTGACTGAGTATTTTCAAACTTCACATTTTCATTCATAGCACGCATTGAATTGTTCATGGATGTATTTGTTGTTGTTGAGGAACACCTACTTTCCAAAAACAAATAGAGTGAAATATACAGAGTACTTCATTTAATTTATTTAACTTTATTTAACGTGTTTTCAATTAGGTTAGGGATAGCTATTATGATGCCAATCGTCTTATAATTCGAATAAATTAAAACTTATATTATATTAAGAAATATCACAGTGAATTTTTAACTTTTTACATTACGATAAAAATGATTTACAAAACAATAAATACGGAGGAAGTAGATTTTTTTCCCTCACGTGTCAGCGTGAATATTGGAAATTTTATTTTATACTCATATGAAGTTTTTGCCTCTTTGTTCATTCGATCTATGGGTCGTTTAGTTCATTTCCTTATGACAATATTCGAATTTTCATTGAATCGTGGCTACCTTTTATATACTATGAAGGTATAAAGTAATACATCCTGTATATGATGTCATGATGCATATCCCTAAGTGCATTGTCATGACGTCCATTATCAATCATTGCGTGTACGTATTCGTGTAAAATGTCACCGAACCAATGCTATTCGACAATTGTTTTGTCACACAATAATGATCCAACAAGTATGTCATTAACGTAAAGCAAGCTCAATTTGCCCAATATCGTCTACTGTTCTGATTTACTCGAAAATTCTAGTTGAAAAGGAAAATTTATTTAACAGTTCGGAAGAACAAAATGAATTCCCCAGTGTGAGTAAGCACTGGAAATGAAAGGAAGTTTAGGAGAACGGAATTCTCCAGATACAGCCCTGTCATTCACTTAGTCAGATGTCATTTACCGTGAGCGACAATTATATGGCTGCGGCATGACTCTAGCTAGTGAATCTCAATCGAACGTCTGAAATTTACGTACAACTCTGGGCCATCCGAAATCGAACTCCGTTTAGGTTTGATGGAACTTTCCACCCCGCTTTGCGTCAACTTGGCCGATGATCTGACGTAAATCACGTGACTTAATGTGCTCAGTGACGCACAATGTTACCAACGCGATCAAAGATTTGCGTATACTGATGGCAATTCATATGCAGCTTAGTAATTAACGTTTAAATATGATTTCATATGTAATTATATATACACGAATTTGTCATATATAGGTAATTTTCAAATCAATTTTATGGTTTGAGTGAAGTGTATACTTAAAAGTACTAAATAACAAAATCACACAACGTCTATTTACGACTTATTACGCAATGCTGTTTCAGCGAAAAACTCAAAATTTGCCAATACGAAAGAAAAAAACATGCTTGTTGACAGGCAGCTTGATGATTTTGCTTTAATTCATACTTACCATGAAATATCACTCACTAAAAATAAAAATGTTGAAAATTGAGTTTTTTCGAGAAAAAAGTTATTTATCAAACTTCACTCATTTCGAAAAATTATTAAAAATGATAGGAGAAATGGGAGGGACTGGTTCCATCAAATCGGTGCGTGGACGCGCCACCGATAATGGTTGAATCACTACTTTTGGGATGTCTGATTTAGATGAACTAAACCTGTTGAATACTACTATTTTATCTTTACTCCTTTGATGCTTTTTCTGGTTCATTCTAAATATATTGGCTCGTATATACAACGAGAATCAGAGATATATTTCATTTAAGATTTTGGTATGAGATTGAT